TTAGATGAACCGGCCCCTGCCGTTTAAAAATATCCCTGGAGCACTTAACCTTCAAGGCACCGAACGGCAATAAGAGCCCAGGCAAAGTGGGACGAGATCTGGCACCAAACCAAACTCGCGCGGCCCCCCTGCCACTCCCAGAGGGCTCTGCTGGCCCCTCTTCAACCCCAGCCCTCGCTGGGTTTCATAACTGTTCGACAGCTAAAGCCATGGGGCATCTAAAGTCCAAGTTGTCGTAAGCCATCTGAACAAAGTCATCCTGACCCTCCTGTGACACGCAGAGAATTAACTGCACACAGGTTGCTGGGTGTTTGAGAAACGGCTCCAGGTTCACGCAGCTGCTGTCAAAGGATCACCACGCTTCACTCCCCAAAAAAGATTCCGTAAAACCTTCTGAATGAAAATGCCACTCAACAAAATGTTTACTTCTTGTGGCTTTGGGGAGGGAAAAAAAAAATCCAACAAAACCCAACACCCCAAAAGCTCCATTTCCATTCTGGGTCAGCTCGCTCTTGCTAGGGCCTGGCAGGGAAGAGGGGCAACCTGGCACAGGCTGTTACAGAATGTTCTGCAAGGGGGGGAGGGCTGCGGACATGTAGGACAAAGGTCACCTCCAGGTGCACACCAGAGCAGGGAAAGCAGAGGCCACACAGAAGGGCGTTGTGCTCTGACAAAAGGTAAGGGGGAGCGGTGTCAGGATGGCCCCAATTTCAGTAAACCAGGAGCAGCAGGTGGAGAATGCTGTGGGGACCCGACTTTCTGTAGGACAGTTTAAATGGCAGTGGGGACAGGTATAAGCCAGAGGGACTTCCTCCACAGGCTTGTTTTCCGAGAAGGAAAAGTCAGCAAATGGTGGATTCTTGGAACTTTCTCCACCGCACTTGTACACGGGAAGGCACTTTGGGGCTGCTCCTGTGGGGTCTGGAAGCCTGGGTACCGTCAGCAGTGAGCAGGGACGGCCCGGCCTACGTCTTACAGGAGCAGGGGGTAAAATGATGCCAGGCAGGGGCTTAGCACGCTGCCTGCACGCCTTCCATCGCCCCTCGACCACGGCCCCTGCGTGACGGGGCCTCAGTTATCCATCCCAACCACCTCACTAGAGGGGGGCTCGTGTGATCGTTCGAAAGAGGCACGTTTCAGACTCTGGGTGCATCCTGGTTTGTTTGTTTGTTTCCTGGGAGAGCTAGGACTCCGGGACATTCTGTAACCTCCATTTCAAAGTCCTCCCTGATGACATCAATAACTGTCATCTGGGCAGAGTGTAAACAGTCACAAGAGTACTTGGCTTTGAAATCGGGCTCACATGGGTTCAAATCCTGGCACCAGGCAAATGGCTGAGTCTGTTTCTCCATCCAGCCGCTTCAGCACGTGGTTGGGAAAAACGACACAAAACGAGAAACATCGAGCTCCTAGCATAGTGGCTGGTTCGTGGCAGGCACTTAGCAACGTCTTTCTAATGGAACTCCTTACTTTCAGAAAGACTAGAAACACTTCCTGCTACCCCTACTCACACGCACATGGAGAACTCGGTTCTGGTAGCTCACCTCTCCCCCAACACGCTCTCTCTACCACCACAAGTATTTTCTAGAAGCCAAATGGTAGGCTGGAAACCAATTTTTCATACACTTGTCCCACCAAACACAATAGAAAAATAGATTCCTTCAAATACTTCTTAAATTCAGAAAATCACGTTATTTGCCAAAAAGAAAAAACTGAAGGGACCACACAGTGTAAGGAAAACGGCATCTGGTACAGGAAGCTGCTGGTGGGGCCACAAACTGGACACTTCACAAAAATCCCGATGTCTCCTTTTCACCCCAAGGACCAATTAAATCACAGTTTCTGGGGTGGGCCTGGCATTCATATTGTCTTGCTTCCCCAGGAGACAGGGAAACGAAATGGACCCCACGAAAGAAAAAGCTGGGGATCCCCCCTCTTACTCCTTGTCCTGCTTCTATTCTTCTTAGGGCCTGCACCCCCACCCTATCCGTGCCTTCTTGTGAGTGACAAGGAGTAAATAATATCTTTAGAAACTTCCAGCATAACAGAGAACACCTCAGGCGGGATCAGGCAAAGCCTCTATGTACATTCCAGACCGCAGGCGCTGGACATCTCGATGCCAGGATCCCTGGCCAAGGAATAAGTGACTTATGACAGACACGTGGACCCTGTCCTTGTTCTGACCCATTCCTGGATGCCTGGGAGGAAGGACATGTGCACCAGACTGCAGTTCTCGGTGGAAACCCCAGACCCCAGGCAAAAACGAGGCTTCACCTTCCCCTTCCTTCCCAAGTCTTCCGTCTGTCTCTGCTCTCCCAAATCTTCCATAAAATGAACTCTGCACTCACTTCCTGCTGGCTTCCGTTTGATTTCATTGTGCCAAGAACCCCCTTGGCTGGTCCTGTGGGACCTCTTCGGGGTCCGCGGCCCCAGCCTGCCTGCGTCACCCAGGTGAGCATCTGTGGGGAGGCTGAAGGCATACAAAGGGGTGCTGGAAGCCTCTGGACACCGTCCCCCCGACCACAAAAGCCACTAAGCGGAGAGGGACAGGAAAACACAGGATAAATACAACTGAGCACAGTGTTGATCTCCTGGTCTAACCTGAGGTTGTGAGACTCAGATTCAAAGTATCGGAAGGACTCTGAGTAGGAAGAGAGGCCACTTAAATTCCAGACTTTTCTCAGCATGTGTCACCACCAATCAACATGCCAGCACCCTCCAAAGTGGCCCAGAGCCTCCTACCTGTTTTTCCTTGTACATCTCGAAGGCTGACAAGGATGAAAAGTCACTGCCAAACACTGAAAAGTTTATTTCTCCAAGTCCAAAACTCTACTTATTATGCCAGGTGCAAACTGAAGCCGACAGCAAATTTTAAGAGGGACAGAATGTCTCATGTAATAATGGGAGCATATTAACAACATGCTAAAGTCTAACAAAAAAAACCCTCACATTCTCTGACTTTGCCCTGCTGGACTCCCTTCAGATAGTGACCTTCACACGATTAGTTTACAACTCAGGGTTCCCGGGACATTTTGCATTAACGGACTTCCTGGTTTCCAAAAGCCCTGAGCAAATACTCCTCTCCTTGCTCGAGAAGGGAGACAGAACCACTGTGGCCGGGCTCTCCCCTGTTCCCACAATGAGCCACGCAGAACTGACCACAGATGGGCACCGATCCTGCAGACCGCTGAGTGGCAGCTCCTGGGACAGGTGTCTGCAAACTACAGCCAGGCCTACCTGTCTCCCTACGGCCCTTGAACGAAGAGTGGTTTTTACATGTGTTACAATGCTTGAGGTGGGGGAAAAAAATCAAGGTGTCACTACATGTGCCAATCATACTCCTTCCCAATTTCAGTGTCGGGAAGTTTTATTGGAAGACAGCCACCCCTGCTTATTTACATTTATCACATGGCTGCTTGTTCTATGAGGGAGTGGAGTGGTTCTCACGGACCAGACGACGGCAGAACTTAAAATTTTACTACCAGACCCTTGGCATAGAAGCAGCATGCTGACCTCTGACCTAAAAGGCCAAGATTGCCTTTTATCCTTTTCTACAAATCTAGTGCTGTGATTGTAGCAAATCCCCAAACGTGAAAGAAAACCCCACTACACAGCTTAAAGTTCATCAAAGTGGGCCTTCTTTCTTAAAAACCGGTGATTAAAGCTGCATTTCTTTGGGGGGAGGAAGGGGCGGTCATAAACCACTGAACACACAGCTCTGTGCTCTGTTTGAAGCATCACTAGATGTCTAAAGTTCACTTTGAACTAAAGTTCAAACAAGAAGGGGCGCCTGGGTGGCTTAGTCGGTTAAGCATCCGACTTTCGCTTGGGTCATGATCTCGTGGTTCGTGGGTTCGAGCCCTGCGTCGGGCTCTGTGCTGACTGCCAGTTCAGAGCCTGGAGCCTGTTTCAGTCTGTGACTCCCTCTCTCTCTGACCCTCCCCTGCTCACACTCTCTCTCTCCTAAAAATAAATAAAAACATTTAAAAAAAAAAAAGTTCAAACAAGAAAAAGCAAAGGAGTTTGCTTTTTGATTTAGGTAACAGAGCTCGGTGCCTCCCCACTCTACTGACGGCATAGTGCAGGGAGAGAAGCATCACAGCCTGAGTGACGTAATGTTTGTAGAAATGTTTCCTTGTTCCTCCATTGGATAAGGGAGTCCCCCATCCCAAGTCACCAGAGGGCAAACTGAGTACACATCTTTGTTTGGACCCTCCCGCTGTTGAAAGCCTGCTTGCCCAAGGCACAGTGTGCGTTCCCACACCCTCCTCCTCAGAAGTTTAGAAAACGAAGGCCTCAGACCTCAGACGGGAACCAAATGTTCTCTAGCAAAAGGTTTCCAAATCCCAGCTCCTTGAGAGACGAGGTGGGGCCCTCAGCACTGGATGCGATCATTCATTCTCATCCACTTAAATACCAGCACGTGCGAACCAGGCCCTTCCGTAGCCTTCTAGCCTTCTGGCTTCCGTCTTCATCAGACACCCGGGGAGTCCAAGCTTTGACTGTGACGGCACACCCTCCACCCCCCACTACCAGCCAAATGCTGGCAGGTCAATGGGCCATCAGGGTGCCTTCCCAGTGCCCTGGCCTCACACCTCCAGTCCAGAGTCCCCCCACGCTAACAGCGTGGGGGCAGGGGCTCCCCTTGCACTGTCCCAGGGCTTGGCAGGACTCGCAGCCACGATCCCGGGAGAAATGCCTTTCTTCCGGCCACCTTCGGCCCTTTAGGATCTCTGCAGTCCCTGACGGCGTACGGGCCCCCAACCGCGGGGAGGCGCAGTTCCTGGCTGGGCTGGGGCCTGGCTCCAGGGGACCCCCCAGGAAGGCGCCCAGGGCTTACCGGGCCTGGAGAGGTGGGCGGCTCCATCCGAGGGGCGGGGCGGAAGGGCGGCGAGGGGCGGCCCTTCCTGCCCACAATGGTTGCCTTGGAGACCCCTCCGCCCCCGCCCGCACCTGAGGGCAGCCCAAGGGCGATAACATGAAGGGAACTGGCACGGAGGGAAACTTCAACAATCTTTTTATTCCCAAACTCTCTCGGGGTTAAACCCCCCCAAACACTAACATATCAACAGCATCTCTGACAGGGTGTAGGACAGAGGTGCAGACCTAAGAGACTGTCTCCCCAACAAAGGATTTAAAAAATATATATATATATACATCTTAAGTATTTTTAAAACAGCAGAATTCACCAGTGTTGGAAAAAAAATGTCCATGTAATTTCAGTCCATAAAAAAATAGCAACTGGGAGTCTGAGCTGCCTTAAAACCCCCAACTCCTGATACACCAGGGAAGAGAAGCATTTCCTCTTTTAAAAAAAAAAACAAAACAAAAAAAACAAAAAACAAACTTCCCCCTTCTCTTTCTTCCAGTTCAACCTCCACGGTTTATTCCTAGGAACACCAGAGAAGGACTGGATACCTGCCCCAGCTCCCTTCCCTCTCCATGTGTGAAGGCTCACGCGGAGATCACATTTCAGCCCTAAACTTCTGGGCACTTGCAACGTGTCCTTCCTTCAAGGAGGGGCCTCAGGGCTGGAGGGCAGATCCAGGGAGCAGTGTGCTTGGCCAAGAAGGGGAACACCAAGCTGGGCAAAGGAGGGCCTTGCTAAGTAAACACACCCAACACCTGACAACCTAAAGTCTAACTTGCCAGCTAAAAACAAGGAGCAGCGGGCTGTACTACAAGGTGCTTCTGTCCCCTGTCCCATTTTACCGTTAACAATGACGGAGAGAGGCGGCGTATGGAGTATTTGACCTCCTCTCTCTCCCAAATACCGTGATGGTATATTTTAGGCCAAAACCGTGTTGCAAAGGGTAGAGCTTCTGCCACCACTCTTGGCAAATAACTTCAATAGCAGCTTCTAGAAAACTGCCTGGGGACAGCCATCCCCCTCCCCCCCAGCTCAGGGTCACAGATCCTTCCAGTTGATGGGCTCCTTGCCAGACTTCTGCAGCAATTCATTGGTTTTAGAGAAGTGTCTACATCCAAAGAAGCCCCTGTACACCGACAACGGGGAGGGGTGCGCGGTCTGCAGCACGTGGTGGCGTTTCTGAAAGAGAACAAGAGAAGGCATCGAGGCTGGCACGTTTGGGACTTGAGGCTCCTTCTCTGCAGCAGTCAAGTGCCTGTATCTTACGAACTAGCAATCCCACCGCTAGGAATACATTCGCTAAGGGACCCATGACGCACAGCCCTACTCAGAGAGGCAGGCGTGAGGCTGGCACAGCGCAGGTGTGGGGTAACAAAGCCAGGGTCAGGCGACTGGCCACAAGCACTTTCTGAACTTGTTACAATGGGACACCACGAGGCTATTAGAACAAGATCGAGCTACAGCAAGTGGAAGAAAAAAGTGATAATTGCACAAAAAGGTTTTTTGGAAAAATATCTAAGACACTATTTATAGTAGTTCCTTTAGGGAAAAGAAATAGTGGGAGGGATTTATTTACTTTCTATCTTCCAGTTTTCTGAATTGCCTGAATGGTCTACAAAAACGCATCACTTTGATTTTTTAAATGGCAACTGCAGTTAACGGAGCAGGAAGACTACGACCCACAACCACGCTTGTTTTCTTGCTTCTTTTCTGTATTTAAATAAAAACCACCTCTGGGCACCTGGGTGGCTCAGTCGGTGCCCATCTCACGGTTCCTGAGTTCAGTCCCTGGCACCGAGCTCACTGTTGTCAGCGCAAAGCCTGCTTCAGATCCTCTGCGCCTCCCCCCCCCCCCACTGCAGTCCGGCGAAAATAAACAAAAATATTAAAATAAATGCTACCTCACAACTGTCTTCACAACATCCTTGCCTCCAAACACCTCCACCCAGGATGGGGCATAATTAAAGCCGGGCAGCACACTGAGGTTAAGAATTGGAGCCTGAAGGGGCCCCTGGCTGGCTCAGTCAAAAGAGCATGTGACCCTTAATGTCAGGCTTGGGGGTTCAAGCCCCACATTGGGGGTAGTTATTACTTATAAAAACAAAACCCATGGAGCCCAGGGCCAGATGGCCTGGGTTCAAGTTCTGACTCTGCCATGTCGTGTGGCCCCAGAGAAGTCAAAGTGTCCAGCCCGCACTCTGCTTCATCTGTAGGTGGGAGAGAGCGGCCAGCTTGTGGAGATGCCAGGCAGGAGCACAGAAGCCCGTGTGTTTTGATGCATCCTGACAGGTAATGCAGCTTCTAGCAGGCCGTTTGCTATGCAGCTGGGGCCCTGAAAATGTGAGCCATGCAGGCTCTGAAGAAAAGAGTCTCTGGACCCAGGAGGCACGATATTCAAAGGCAGGCAGGGAAGTGGGACACAGGGAGGAGGGGAAAGGGGGGGGGGGGTCCAGTCAGCCTGAAGTGGGGAGGAAGAACTGCGGCTGAGAGGCAGACCTGGGCGTGCTCGTGCCTGAGACCCCACCCGAGGCAAGGCCTTCCAGAGGGACCGCATGGGACACTCCAGCAAGATCCAGTGAGGGCCTGGGCCGAGGCAAAGGCGGTAGGTGGGGAGGAGTCTGAAAGCAGGGGAAAGGCTCTGAGCACCTGACAGGCTGCAGGGTGGGGAGGCAGAGGAAGATGTCAAATACAGGATTGGCTTTCTGGGTGGACAAGTGCGGGCGGTACTCTCCAGCGTGGGGAGTACGCGGGAAGGAGCAAGTTTAGCAAGGCAGGCTGAGGAAAGGAGAGCGTTACTTGGGAAACTCGGAATGTGATGCGCCTCCTGTGTTCTAGCACCGAGCAGACACACCTAGTACTCAGGAAAGCCACCCGGCTGGACGCGTGACTTGCTTCCCATGATCAAGCTTTTATAATTGCTTCCTGTCAAACCAAACTATTATTGGTAACAGATTATAAACACTCGGGAGTCAGAGCCAGGCGGCCCGCAATCTCCCTACAGCGCGGAGATTGCTTCCATGGACCCTTCTTACTTCCCAAGAGGATCAGATCTCAGCAGTTAGTTCCTTCCTGCCAGATTTTATCATTCCCTGCCTCAAAACACCTGAAGACGCCTGCATCCTTCACAGAGACCCTCTATAGGGAGAGAAGCCGTTTCACCCAACGCCTACTCAGTTGCCGTTCACAGAGCCGTGGGGAGAGGTCAGAAACTGAATGCCTTTGGTGGCAGTGCCAGTGGTGAGCAGGGGGACTGGCATGTTCTTAGGGGAGGCGACTGGATTTAAGGGGAGGAGGGAAAGGAGACATTCAAGAATGGCTTCTGGTCTTTCATCTCAGTACCAGGTACCCGGGCTCTTGTGGATGTAGAGGGAGAAGAACAGAGGAGCACATGGGGGGTGCGGGGTCCTTGTCTCCTGCACCGAATGGTGCCCATATCACTCTGTGCACATCCGCCCACGTTACCAACACTGCTGAATCAAGAGCTGGCCTGGTGCTTTCCTCCCAAGCAAACCGTTCCTGTCATTTGTCTGAATTTTGCTTCATTTTCAATGGCACACCTGACCCTAACTCTAAGTCTCTAAGAAAAACAAACTTCATCTCAGAATGTGGGTTTTCCAACACCACACAATAGAGACTCCGAAGATTTTCTAAACTGGCTTAAAGCGTTTCAAAGACAAAACAACCATACCCTATCGATGGCACTGCCCTTCTTCTGGGCGTAGGAGCCCCACAGCAGGAAGACCAGCCCACTGGAGTTCTGATTCAGCCAGGACACGACCGCGTCGGTAAACTGCTCCCACCCTCTCTCCTTATGCGAATTGGGCTGATGTGCCCGGACGGTGAGGACTGCGTTGAGTAAGAGAACACCTACAGAAGACACACACGGCAGAGAAATTGATGAGAAGACAAATGAGCCAGCCAGGACGCCTGACAACAGGGGCTGTGCCCGTGAGGCGGCTCCTGGGTCCAGGGTGGCACAGCAGTCTCAAATCGGCTCCCAAAGAAAGAAAGCATTACAACATGACTGCGGAGCACCTCCGGGCAAGACCGGAGAGCATTTTACTTTCACCTCTGCAATTTCAACATCTTCTAAGTGTGTAACAGTGAATGCGCTTTACATCAGTCATCGGGGTTGTTTCAAAAATACATCCCAAGTGGGACACCTGGGTGGCTCAGTTGGTTAAGCATCCGACTTCAGCTCAGGTCACCATCTCATGGTTTATGGGTTCAAGCCCCACATTGGGCTCTGTGCAGACAGCTCAGAGTCTGGAGCCTGCTCTGGATTTGGTGTCTCCCTCTCTCTCTGCCCCTCCCCTGCTAGTGCTGTTGTCTTTTTCTCAGAAATAACATAAAAAAAAAAATTAAAGGGGCACCGAGGTCGCTCAGTCTGCTAAGCTGCAGACATTGCCTCAGGTCACGATCTCAATCAAGGGTTGTTGAGTTCGAATCTCGCATTGGGCTCTGTGCTGACAACTAGGAGCCTGGAGCCTGCTTTGGATTCTGTGTCTCCCTCTTTCTCTGCCCCTCCCTTGCTCATGCTCTCTCAAAAATACACAAACATTAAAAATATATATACATATCCCAAGTGATAATAAATAATTCCCAAAAGGTAACAAAAGGAGGCTGAAATAGTTCACTGGAACATATCTAACTATAAGAAAACAGACAGTAGGGGCTCCTGGGAGGATCAGTTGGTAATGCATCCAACTTCAGCTCAGGTCATGATCTCACCATTTGTGGGTTCGAGCCCCACATCGGTCTCTGTGCTGACAACTTGGAGCCTGGAGCTGCTTCAGATTCTGTGTCTCCCCCTCTCACTGTCCCTCCCTCAATTGTGCTAGAGCTCTCAAAAATAAATGTTAAAAATTTTTCTTAAAAAATTCGTGTATATTCTTTCCTTATCCTGGTTACAGTTTATTTGGGAAGGAAGGGCCGTCTGGGTGGCTAAGTCGGTAAAGCGTTCAACTTTGGTCAGATCAGGAGCTCTCGGTTCACAAGCTGGAGCCCCACATCAAGTGCTCTGTGGTCAGCACAGAGCCTGCTTTAGATCCTCTGTCGTCCCCCCCCCCCCGCCCCTCCCCAGTCTGTGCTCTCTCGTTCTCTCTCAAATATAAACAAGAGAAAGACAGAAAGAAAAGTCCTGCAAATGGGTATTCAACAGAGAAAAAAACACAACCTGAGTGTTGAAATGAGAAAGGTGAGGCCACCTCCCAAGTGGTCAAAGTTAGCAGATAAATGTAAAAATACTAATTACAAGGGCACTGGCTGGCTCAGTCGGTGGAGCGTGACTCTTGATCTTGGGGTTGTGCGTTCAAGGCCTGAGATTACTTAAAAACAGTAACAAAGAACAAACTTTTCTCTGAAATTACAATTAAAACACGAAAGAAAGGACCAGCTCTTTCAAAAGGAGACACATTTTTTGACTTGTCGAAATGCAGCCAGGCTGTGGGAATGCTCTGGCTCTGAGTTCTTTTACAAGCATGAGCAAGCAGGGCAGACAAGGGAACACTGTGCTGGTATCTCCCGGAACGCATCTAGCAGGCAGGCGGGCGGCTTACCTTGTCTGGCCCACCCAGATAAATCTCCATGACCAGGATGAACAAAACCATCTATGTCTGTAGACAGCTCTTTATAGATGTTTTCCAAACTGAAAATAAGCCAGGAAAAAAACAGAAAACAGGATTGAGCACAATTCTGAAAACCCGGTAGCCTCCAACACACACGTGGATTCTGGCGTTCACCGCCAGCCCATGGAGGGGAGGGCTGAATGCACCCAGCGGATTCATGTGGAGGCATCACACTCCCCTGACCCATAACCTTGCCAAAGACCCTTACACTTTGGTCTAGGCTTGAAGTTAAGGGGAAGCACTTTGGACAATTTAAGTGAATCAGACCAGGAGTTACAACCTCTCTCCCAATTAATGCTTCCGGTTTTAGATCTTTGCGTATTTGTTCTTACACATTGTACGTCAAATTCTCCAAAGCAGTGGTTTTTCATCAGGGGTGATTTTGCGTGCTGGGGACTTCGGGCACTGTCCAAAAGCACCCTTCACTGCCATTTTACCAGTGCCCTCTAGTTCTGGAGGGGGCGGTAGGCACCCTTCAGGGCACCGAACGGAACCTTTCCTGCAAGAAGACCCAAGCCCTGGATGTTGACAGCACCGAGATGGAGAAGTCCTGCATAATGGCTACTAGAAGTCCCCCAAGTGCACCTCTGCAAGGCACACACATGCAAGCAATCACACGGGCCCTCTGTGAAGTGCGCGTACCTGGGTGGCGGTGGAACGGGCCTTTGAACACTAAAGCAGAGCCCATGGGCTTGATTGGGTCCGTGATATGGGTCCTGCCCCAGGATGACAACCTTCACCTGTGAATGGCAGGTGGCAAGAGATTAAATGCTGTCATTTACACGGGCCCCTGCCTGATAACCTGTACAAAGGACTGGGATGAGGAGACAGGGAGCTCCCCGACCCAAGGGAGAGCCCCCGAAGGGAGAGGGTGACCCAGCCACCATTACTTCCTATTACCAAGTGATCCTTCGCTCAGCACCCTGCTGCACGGCCCCGCTCCTTCTCGGACGCAAGTGCGTGTGCAAACAGGTTCAGGGCTACCTTCTCATCCCCTTCATTTCTCACATTTTAAATATGTGTCCTCGGCACAGGTACAACCATCCAGAAACACACAAAGTGGTTCATGGTCTCCCGCTCTTCTTTATCCCGAGTCAACCCTGTAAAGTGACCTATACAACTGGGGTTATCGTACTCCTCACCCTACATCTTCTTCATATTGTGCCTTTCACGCATCCTTCAATCCTAAAGCACTCAGTCACTGAGAAGCAGTTGGCCTGATTCCTAAACACTTTCTATTACACAAAGAAAACACTGCAGCAATCACCCTAAGTTGTAGGTCCTTACACAGTTTCTCTATCTATGGAACACACTCAGAAGAGAGGAGGTGCTGATCCCAGGACGGGTGTATTTTACAAATTCCCACTGGGAAGCAATTCAAATCCCTACCAGCAACACGGGAAGATGCTGGTTCCCCCATATACTCTGAGGGATGGATCAGAAGAGGAGGTCAAAGGCCTTGGAGCAGGTGGCAACATGTAATGAAAATGAGGTCACTATCACAGGCAGCAGGATCATTTGGATCCGGTGCCGGCTTTTCTCTTCATTCTCATGCTTCTGTCCTTGCTGTTCCTTCTCAGAAGCTTCTCCCGTGGCCAAGAAACACCACATCCTTCAAAACCCAACCTTCAGACACCAGGAAGTTTTTGTGGGCCTCCCTCCCTGTTCCCCCATGAGGGCACACTCCGTCCTCAGCATAGTCTACCTCATGAAGCGGCCGGTCCCAGCAGGAAAGCTTTTGGGTCCCGGTCCTGGATAAGGGACAACCCTGAAGGTGCCACTAAACCTGCCGGTCTGCAAAGACCACTCGCTGGGCCACATGATCCGCGGAACTTTTGTGTGCTCCTCTTTTCGTCCCTGCTGACACTAGTCACTGGTATCAAAACAGGAGCCACTGTTCAAACAGGGCACAAACGGGTACTGTATTTAACAGGACGTGGTTTAACTTTAGAAAACCACGAGCTATAGTCAAAGCTCTTGCTCTAAAGTGAAAAACTGTCAAGTCTGCTAAATGTTAGGTGTGGTGGCCTTATCTAAATGGGTTGTTCACCTAATTTCACTTCTGTGTGATTGAACACATCCAGTATTTATTAAATCACACGGTTCCTGCCCTCAGCTTACAAGATGGGGAAGGGAACAGCATAAGAACAAAATATAAAATCTCAAGCCCCGAGGTGGATGTAGAGATTACTCCAGTGTGAAGAGACCCTAAATGCGCTGGAGAGGAAAACCAGATCACAAAGGCAGGGGGCAGCAGGCTCCAAGGAGGTGCCACAGATGGAGCTAGTCAGTTTTTCAAAAGACAGAAGAGAGGATTCTTGTCACTCTGTCCACCTCTGAAGTGGGAGAGCTGGGGGTGGAGGGGAGGCTGGGAAGAAGGCCACGGCTATTTTCACGTTCAGCTTCCGTTGTTCGTACAGTGTGAAGCCAAAAACAAGCTTCTGACCAGGAGACTGAGGCAGCCGCACTAAGCCAGTCAGCAGCCGTTGTGCGAAATGAACCCCAGCAAAGGGGTCTGTTACCAGGAGAGCAAAACTGCTGAGGCCAGAAGAGCTTGAAAGCATCACCTATGAAAGGCAGTGTGGGCAGACAAAAAGAATACCGAGCTGCAAGTCAAGGTGGGTGGGCGATCACCAATTGAAAAGACCTAACTGCTTCATGCCTCGGTTTCCTCACCACCGTAAGATGTAACACTGGCATGGGGCTGGCTTCAGGATTCAATAAAATTCAAAAAATTAGAGCATATAGACCCAAGGTCTATAGTATAAATTTTTTTTGTTTTGGCTGCCCTGACTGCACAGGCTAAAAGCTAGAGAATTAACAAGCTACAATATAGCCAGCCCAAACTCACAATTTCGGCATTTATTACTCAGTTATGGGCAGTGACTTAATTCCGGGGCCATTGACAAATAACTATGTGATTCCCGCCGCCTCTTTTGCTAAAACTCACCGACAACTTTACTTACATGTCTTATGTCACACATTTGGGTCCAGGTGAAGACTTGGTGTGGGGGCGGATAAACAGTGTAATGTTTTCTTTCTTCTGCAACAAATCCCATGAGCTGATGTAAAGACAAATTAGACTTAAAATCAGATTCTCATGGAAAAGCACGGGAATTAACATTAATAAAACTTCCGACGTAGGCAAATGGCAGCATTATCTAGCTCTTTGCAGGGTTTTAGATCCAAGTTCTTTTGAAAAACAGCAAGGAAGAACTGTACTTGCGGGTCACCAAAGAGGTCCCGCTCCAAAGTCGGGCTACCTTTCCCCGCGGTTTGGACAGGGTCCTGGCAGCTTGGACTTCCTCTTGGCGCCACCCCCTCCCTCCCCTCTTTTCATAAAGGCTCAACCAGTGTCCTGCAGGCTGAGGTTTGCGGTTTTACCATGCAGCTCTTTCCTGGAGAGCGAACCAACCGAATGGTTTACAAGAACCCCGATCATCTTACAATGAACTTTTCAAGCGTGCGAATGCAACACACCATGGGTGTATTTTAACTTCTTGGCGCAAAAAGGACGTTAAAGAAGGGCCTGCAGAAGCCTAGGAAAGCAATATCCTTCAAACGCGGGCTCCGCAAGCTGTACTACGAAGACAATGGGCCCGTGGCCTGCAGGCTTACCTTTATGAAATATGGTTTCCCGAACTCCGCGCTGAGCTGCTGCTTCCAACTCTCCCCGAAACCCACGGGCACGTTGCGCGCGGCGAGCCTGAGCAGAGCGGCGGCCTTGTTCCTCTGGATGCGGACCAACTGTTCGGGGCTCAGCGGCGAGGTGGGCGGTGTGCCGGGGTCCTCCTGCCCGGCCCGGGCCTTCTTGGCGGCGCTGGCCTGCAAGCGGTCCCCGCGCAGGCGAGTCACGAGCCGCAGCGGAACGCGCCCGGGCGCCCGCAGCTGCCGCCCCCAGCCCCACGGCCATTGGCGCAGCACGCCCATCCGCGGGGACGCAGCCCGCACGGGCAGGTCGCAGCAAAACCGGCTGCCCCCAGTTTTGGGTCGTGTGCTAAACTATGGCGGGGAGAGGGGCAGGAAGCAAGGCCCGCGACATCTCCGGAGGGGTTCGCTGGCCGGGGCGCCGGGACCCAGAAGCCCCGCCCCACCACCCGCGTCCCCATGTGGTCTTTTCGCGGCAAAACCCCCCCGGACTCCCGCCCTCTCTCCTCTCTGATTGGACGCAGGGCCGAGCGGGGCGGCCCCGTCGCGTCTGATTGGCGCAGTGGGCCCCGCGGTCCATCCCCATTGGCTGGCCCCTCAGAATGGCCGCCGATAGAGGTGCGCGGGCTGTTTTGAACACGTGCAGGCTCCTTTGAACACTCGGACCCAGCTTAACGGGTCAGCGGCGCATCCCTCCTACCCCCCGGTCGAGCGGGACCCGCCGCCCTCCTCCCAGTCCCTCGCCCCCGGTGCCCGGTCCCCGCCGCGCCTCACCGCCGCATCCCCGCTCTCCTCAGCTACCGCCGCCACGCCAGTCCCCGGGTCGGCTGGCTCGGGGCTGCGGGCACGTCGTTTCCCGGCGGGGTTCGGGGAGAAGAAGGAGTAGAGGGTCTTCTGGCCAATCATCCCGGAGGCGAGAGTGAACTCGCGCCGCCCGGGACCCCGCGGTGCTTGCCGGCTGCGGCGGTCCGGAATTGGCGCCAAACAGCCCGCGCATGCTCCGACCTGGGGGGCTGGGCAGGGGGCGGCGGGGGGTCTAGTGCGCATGTGCTGGAGGGGCCGCGGAGCGACGCCCCTGGCTCCAGGTGGGGCCTGGAAGCCTCTGGCGGGAAGGCTGGTGAGTTTTCTGCTTCATTCATTGTACTTAGCGGCCACACCCCTGCCCGGGGGCGCGTCCCATCACCTCTCCGCTGTGAAAAGGAGCTGAAAGTACCTGCCCGTAGGGTTGTCGTGGGGGGTGAAATTAGCATTAAAATAGTAATTAATTTGTTTTGCCCTTACGTCCGGGTCCACACCCAGTTTTCACAACCTATTTTTACTAACTATAAACTGGGGCCTAGTGCGGTCCTGCGTTTTGCCTAACCTGTAAGGTGTGGTGGAGACTACAACTGGGGTCTTGGGTGAATTCCAGAAACTTCCCAGTACACCTGCGACTCATCTTTTTTTCGGCCCTCCCTCCTGGCGTCTAAACCATCTACGGGCCTCTTATTTCTATCTCCATAATATACCCAGATTCAACTGCTGCTGTTGGTCGCCTGGCCGCAATGCCCGGCCGGCCGCTCTCCTCTGCCGGAGAGTGATGGTTTTGAAATGCAAACGACATCGTGGTAATCCTCGGGTAAAATCCTCCTAGTTTTCAAATGTTTGAGAATAACCCCCAGCCTCTCACCCTGCTGCCAGAGCCGCTTCCGTCTCTGACGGAAGCCCCAGCTGCGAGGTGACTGAATCGGGCCCTGAGCACATTCACTGCCCAGTCCAGCCTGTCCCTTGTCTGGTCTGTACGGCCTTGCACACGCTGTCCCCCCACCTGGTAAGCTTTGGGTCTGAAAGGCCTCCTCCTCCCCCACTCTCGAACTGGCCACTCTCTAGCTTCTGTATTATCTATAATTATTTCCTTGTTTGTCTTCATCTCCAAAATTGAACCCTGCTGAGGGCAGGGACTTTATCTTCTTACGGGTGTGTTCCAGCGCCTGGGGCAAGGAGCCCGGTGTGCACGAAGGAGAGAAGCTCCCAATTCAGCTTCATTTGCCCTTCCAGCCACTTTGAGAAAGACGTCAGCGCTTTTGGTCTAAAGTGAACCGTGCACTTAAGCACGTGCCCCTGCAGTTCACCCAAGTGCAGTTAAAATCTGCATTCACACAAAAGCTTAAACGTGATCGGATACAGTGTAAAAATGTCCCTGGGGGCGGGGGTGGGTGGGTGGGGTAGGGCGGTTAACAAACCGTGGGGCATCCATACAACAGAATGCTACCTCGCAGTAAAAGGAACAAACAACTGAAACAAACAAGGGGTCCATCTTGAAAGCTTTTAAACTAAACGGAAGGCCAGACACAAAAGGCTATATATTGTAGAGAAATTCTGGAAAAGACAAAACTGTGGGGACAGGAAACACGTCAGTGGTTGTGGGGAGCTCAGGGAGGAAAGGGAGCTGCTGGCTAAGAGGCTTGGGGGAACTCTGGGGGGTGACAGCCCTTCTGGAGCTTCATTGCGGGGGTGGTCACATAACCGTGTGCTTTTGTCTAAATCTGCAGAACTGGGCGCTACAAAGATTCAAAAAGAGGCCCCCAATCTCAGAGCGTTCATTACACTGGGGGAAACAGAGAGTGAACTAAAATCAGGAGCACTAAGGGAGCCTCACATTTACTTGGAGCACAGAAGCATTTCTCACACATCTCATCTCATCTCTGTGGTGCTGTCAGGGCATAGGTTTTCTAGCCCTTACTGTGTAGATGATGCAGTTCAAGCCCAGAGAGTTTAAGCAGCCTGCAGGAGCCACACAGTTAGGGTGGTGGAGACAGAGAAGACATAGAATCGTGCTCCCACCTGGTGGCCCAACCCTGTCTGGACGCCCAGTGGCTCCCTGGGGAGAAGCGACACCTGACAGCAGCTGGTCCCAAACCACAGAGGCTCCTAGTCCGGCCGTCCAGGCTGAAACCCGGCAGTGCGTGCAGCGCGCCCGGAAGGCCGACAGGTGGCGCCAGGAGGCCGCCCGCCAGGCTGTTTCGCTAGGTGCCTGCATTTCCCAGCTGGCCCCGAAATCCGCCCGGAAGCCGTGCTGCGGCCGCGGTGTCGTCCCCTTCCCGACAGCCCTGCCTCCGGTGTTTGCGGCGCTCGGGGCGGCGCGGGTGCTGCCCGGAGTTTCTCAGACAGCCCCCGCCTCCCCCTCGCCCCACGCACGGGCCGCAGTTCTTTTTTTCTATTGGAGTTGGGCGTGCGGGTGACCGCGTCGAACTGTTTGAGCCTCAGGTTCTGAATCCTAGCCATTTGAGGATCACTGTACTTACCTAAGGGGGCACTGGCGTGGGAGGGCTGGTCCCTAGTGGGTGAAAAGGAGACAGGGAATCTGCTTTTCTGAGAGACTTTGGGCAAACCCCTTCTTCCCTCTGGGCGGCTCAGCGTGGGCTTTCTTTAAAGGTCAGGTGCTTGGGGGTGGAACGCAGGCGTTCGGGGTTTTGCAAGGTGGCCAGCCGATTGTGATGCATTGCCAGGTGTGGGAGACCCAGGACGTCCGAGGGACCCTTCCAACTGCAACATCTCTACTTACGTTCTAGGACATGGTGTTAAAAGTGGAACTTGAAAACACCGCGGAGGAATGCGGTGGGACCCCTTAGCCACCAAGCCGATTTTTGGATCTGGGTCGGAGCCTCGGCGACTCTCTCTCCGCCCTGTGTCTGCGGCCAGGTCTTTGCTTTGTGGAGGCAGGATGGACAGATTCCTGGTGAAGGGGGCTTTAGGAGACCCTCTGGGAAAGAGGGAGCGAGAGGCGGGTGGAGAAGGTCCAGCAGGCCTGCAAGGAGACCAGGAGAGTGGCAGGAAAAGGCTGAGGGCCGAGACCCCGGGGATCGCAGGCCACCTGGCCGGCCCCGGCTGGCAGCACATCCGAGCCGAGGGTCTGAGCTGTGATTACACCGTCCTGTTTGGCAAAGCCGAAGCAGACAAGATTTTCCAGGAGCTGGAGCGGGAAGTGGAGTATTTTACAGGTGAGCCGGGGACCGTGTGTGCGTGTGTGTTGAAGACTTGTTTGATAAAACAAGTGGTCTGTGTTCGGAGAGATACGGACTCAGGAGCCATTAATTACAGGTGACTTCATTAACGGATTCAACACCTATTCTCTGGGCCGAGCGCCTTACTGGGCGCACAGGATACAAACTGGAGACGAGTTTGCCTGCCCAGGCAGCTGGCAGATCCAGAGAGGGATTTGCCACCTGGCCACTGGTTAGAATCATGTGGGAAGGTTAAAAATAAGGAAAAGATGCTGCGTTCTGCCCGGGACCAGTTGAATCTGAGTAGCTGGGGGTGCAGTCTGGGCCTCAGTGTTTCTAGAAAGCTTCCAGGAGATTCTAAGATGTGGCTGGTCTAGCAGGAGACACAGCAAATAATCAGGTAGTTCCCCCGCATGGGGTCCTCAGCATCACCTAGAGGACCTTGTGCTTCTGAGGATGTGGCTCACTGGGCCCCTCCCCCACAGTCTAGCGGCTGTTTCCAGGTGATGCTGATGCTGTTGGTCTGGGGAACACACACAGAGAACCCCTGCAAAGGGCAGAGCGCCCGGGGGCACAGAAAAGCCCTTGGGAGACCCCAGCCTCCAGCGTCTGCTCCATCAGTTACATCTTCTTGGGGGCTCCACACCCTCAGTCTCCACGGCTGGCAGAATCCCCCCAGCGTGTAGCCTGACCTGCTTGCTTGCGTTGCAGCCTCTTAGCACGTTCCTTCTGCAGGCAAGACAATGAGGTCATGGCATTAAAAAAAAAAAAAAAGGACCAGACCGTTTCTGTAAGGGCAGGACAATCGCTGTTCTTCCACGAACACTGGGCAAGAGCCAGTGGGTTTTGTCCTTGGTCAGGAGATGAAGTGTTAATTCCTGTTTTAGTTCCCTTTCAATCCTGAACACTCGGGGCAGGTGCATGGGGGCCCTGGCCCCGCCTGCCCTTCTGAGCTGCCATGTTCTGTCTACACAGGCGCGCTGGCCAGGGTCCAGGTGTTTGGGAAGTGGCACCCTGTACCCCGGAAGCAGGCAACATATGGCAGCGCGGGGCTGACCTACACATTTTCGGGCCTTACTCTGTCCCCAAAGCCCTGGATCCCAGTCCTGGAGCGCATCCGGGATCGCGTTTCTGCTGTGACAGGAGAGACCTTCAACTTTGTGCTCGTCAACAGGTGACACCCTACCTGTTTTACTTTTTCTTATTTAGGCTGCTGGGCTGAATTGTATAAATCTGCTGCTGCTTCTGAAGACAGGAGTTTAGGATTCCGCCATATTTTACTCATTTGCACCACAAATAATTCCTTAGTGCAGCAGGTCAGTCTTCGAGGAGCCCATGCTGCCGTGGAAGCGAGAGGGGATTGTCTGATGAACAGATGGTTGAACAAGATCATTTCAGAGGCGGTTAAGCGTCTGAAAGAAAATGAAGCAGGCTGATTTTGCTAAAGAATGATGAGGAGGAAGGGCTCTGGGTTTAGGGCAGGGTTTCTCAGCAGCGACACTGAGGTTTTGGGCCAGATGATTCCTCTTGGGACCACCCTGTGCATCACAGGATGTGAGCCACATGCCTGGCTTCCATCCAGGGGCATCCCCTTCCCGGTCACAGCCATTGAGGTGTCTCTGGACATAGCCGGGTGTCCCCTGGGTGGAGGACAGAATCGCCCTGCTTATGAACCCTGAGTTTAGGGGGAGATGGTTAGCGGAGGGCTCACCGAGGTGCTGATGTTGGAGCTGGAGACTAACTGGAGAGGGCACAGGCCACACAGACATCTGGAAGAAGAGCAGAGGAGGCCTGGAGTGTGTACGGAGCGGAAATCCCACTGATGGGGCTGGAGCAGGGAGGGAGAGAGGGGTACCAGGAACTCAGAGATGGGCACTTATTCTGAGCGTAGGGAGACACCGTCGTCTATAACACAGGTTTACATACATGAACTGGGAGGAGTGGAAGGCGTGTTTGTGGCTTCTTTTGGTGAGGTGCGTTTTAAGGCACGCAGTCACCCAGGATGAGGTAAAATGGAGGTGTCTCAGGCACAGCCGCCTGTGCCCCCCGAGGAGGCCCTCCCGCCCCCGCAAAGCCAAGAGCAGGGGCCGCTCGGGGCGCCTTTCAGGCAGTAGGACAGCAAGGGTTCTGACACATTCCGGGAGAGGGCCGTTTTGTACATCGTGCTTGTTTTCTCATGGCAGGTACAAAGATGGCCGTGACCACATCGGTGAGCACAGAGATGATGAAAGGGAACTGGCTCCCGGGAGCCCCATAGCCTCTGTCTCCTTTGGGGCCTGCAGAGACTTCTTCTTCCGGCATAAGGATTCTCGGGGGAGGCAGCCTGCCCGGAAGGTGGACGTGGTCAGGCTTCAGCTGGCCCACGGAAGTTTGCTTATGATGAACCACCCGACCAACACTCACTGGTATCACAGTCTCCCCGTCCGAAAGAAGATTCTAGCTCCACGGGTCAATCTGACATTTCGCAAAATCTTGCCTGCTAAAAAGTAAAAACTTGGTCAGTAGCTCGTAGGTTGATTTTCTCCTTCCCTCTCTACTCCAGCAGGGAGCTGGCATCCCGTTCCCAAAAGGGAACAGAAGAGGTTAAATCCAAGTGTCAGTAGGGCCCACTGCAGAGCACTGCAGAATTCCCTAAGAGGATGGTTTTCTCAAACTGGCCAAGTATGAAAGAATACCAGTTGATTTTTTTTTCCTAACAAAAGATTCTTTTATTACTATAATACACAGCAGATACAAAAGGTACCTTTAGCAGATACATAAATCAGCAGTTATCATGGCACAAACTACTAGTTTAACCTCCGGTTTTTGCCAAGAGAAGCCACTTCGTAAATAACTTAAAGCCAGAAATAAGATGATGTGGCTGCTACTAACAGTTTACAGAATGAGGAAGTCAGTTCTGAGTCCGAGGAAGAGACTCTGCACAGGGATCATTCACATTTACGACCTTGGCTCACACCCTGGCCTCTGACCGAAGGTCTGCTGACAGCTAACTGTTCAGAGGATCATCCCCTTTCGTGCCCAGTGTGTCTCTTTAGTGGCAGACTTCAAAGAGGAAGCAGTGGCAGAAGAGCAGTGACTGAAAGCTACGACTTTGTGACGCCATGTAAGGTCACAGAACTGGGCATTTGTTCCACCAGACTCAGGCAGAACAGGTGGGCTCAGCTCAACGTCAAAGCCAGGGCCCGCCAGGCAGTCAGGAAGGGGCGTCAGCAGTGAAGGCCTCATGCTTCGAGCTGCTCTCTCTCCCTGATACCCGTGGCCTGGAGAACCTTCACAGTATATTCTATCGGTAGCAAGTTTTGAGTCCTCGGGGGTACGGGGCCAGGCGGGATAGTGATCACCTGGGCCACTTAACGCTTCGAGCCAACACCCAGGCATTGTCTAGAGGCATCTGCCAGCTTGCCCCCCACCCAGGGGGGGAGTGGGGTCCTCAGCCTTACCTTGGGGGACCTTTCAGACTACTCTGATTCCAAATCTTAACTCTGAAGAATCCCTTTGAATTTGGTATCTTTTTTTTTTTTTTTTTTAAATAAAAAAACCTAGCTGAAACAGATACTACTGTGTCCTCAAACCTCCTGTGGTCCTGGGTGGCATTCATGACACTTATCCAAAGAGGGAAGAGAATGCTCAATACAGTCTTTGTATGGGGCTACTAGAAACTGATAAGTTTAGAATATGGACCTGCAATAAAATGACAATAGCAGATGATCAATTGTAATGATATGTTTTTTAAAAACTGAAGTTTCTTTTTTTGTGGAAAAGGTTGGGGTTTTGATGTTCATTGAGTCTTAACCGTACGCTTTACAAATGAGGAAACTGAGGCTCAAAGAGGAAATTGAGCCCCACGGTCAGTGCCCTTCCTTCTGAACCCGGCTCTCAAGTCAAGGCTAGGACTGTGCTTTTCCACAGCCCCAGCTCCACCTATAAACCTGGGGAGCTCTGCATGGGCTCCTAACAGAGTTAGGAATAACCGTCCACGGCGGAGCTCTGTCCAGAGCAGAGAAAGTGCAGGTACTGGCATGGAGGCTGCCTCAAGCCGGCAATCACACAGTTTTAGGATGTACCGTAATCGCATCTCGGTGGTCCGGTAAGCAGGGAGTTGTGGGCGACCAGGGAGCTCACTCACAATTAGCTGAGCGGGGGAAGAATTCCCAGGGACAGGCCTGGTAGGTGCGCTTTTACTACATACAAAGAATCCGAAGATTAGAAAAGACCCACGGAGAGAGAAGGTGGGTGTTGTTCAGGCGTCTGCTACCTGTCCTGTTGCTCTCCGTCAAGAAACTCGGAAGGAATAGAGCTCTTCACAGGTTGGTTACGGGGCTTGTGGACAATGTGTATTTTCCCAAATGGACATGCTACAAAAGCAATCGAAAGGGAAAGGCACTTTTTCTTCTAAATTGTTGCCTTTAAAAATTTCACCAATTCTTGTGAACGATTGTTAGGGGCCTGCTTATGAAAAATAAAAGATCTGGGCTAAAAGCCATCGGAGGATTAGACAGTTAACTCCCCTCTGAGAAAGCCTAACGTGGCCAAATATAAAAACGGTGGCTTCCGGAGCTGGCTTTCTTTTAATTAGCAGGTGAGTAAAAAGACATTCTAGACAGAATGGATGCCGTCCCGGCCCAGGGACGCCATCGGCGTGCACCGTCCAGGGAGCCTGATCTGGGTGGAGCTGGGCCCACCAGCTCCTGCGCGGAGCCTGCTCTCAGGACACAGCAGAAGGCTGAGGACTCTGATGGGGCCACCTGCACACGGTCTGATCTTGCCTTGATCCTGGCCTGCGTGGACAGTGCCGTGGCTCTGGCTCCGGGGCCAGGCTGGTCACTCCTCCGACCTGTACTCTCGGCCCTGGTGCTGCATCTCAGAAAGGACGCGCTCGTAAAACAGCAGGTAGGCACTGGAGGACAGCACCTCCTGCAGGCTCGCCTTGCGGACGGTGTCATCAGAGGCCCACAGCCACTGGTTGCTGGTGGAGAGAGGGTTCTTGGCCGAAGGTGGGGACCGCCGGTAAGTCACGAAGTGTCCTGAGTGCATGTCTCCGTGGTGGACGACAACTGCCATCAGCCGGAAGAGGTACGTGGAGGAGCTGAATGGTAGGAACGAATGCCAGTGGTTTACAAATAGCAAAAAGAAGGGTTTCAGGCAAAAACAAAAAGTAAAAGAATCCTAGGTATTCAGTAACGGGGGGCTGACACGATGGCACACGTGCACGTGAATACGACACATGAAAGTACACACCAATACTGGTATGGTAAGATGCCCATTCCGTGGGTGCATGTACAGGGGGTGGTGCACGCACCTGCACGCGCACACCCCCCCTCATACACACCCCTTTACAGAGTGGAAGGAAGGCCTTAGGGATTTAACTGATGATCTCTACGTGGTGTCCCAAGAAATTTGAAATTTCCTTCATACTCTATACACGCATTTGCACGTGTATACACACGAGACATATTTACATTTTACGTACTTTTAGAATTCTTATTTTTAAAGTGATTTCCGTTTTACATAACAGTGAAATCACACCTTAAGATGGAAAAAAATGTCCATCCACATTGGCATTCATTTCTGTGCTAAGCTGATTTTGGAACCCAAGAGAAACAACGACAACGGATGAAGACTGCAGAGTGGCTCACCTGTAGTCAGGAACAACTGGGAGGGGGAAGGGCATTGGGGCTGGCAGGGTAGGCAATAAAGATGGGGAGCAGGCGCCATTCATAAAAATTTGTGTTTTCGGGCCCCCTGGCTGATTCAAAACTGCAAGAGAAAAAGGCCCAAGGCAATTACAAGTCACAGTGGCTGTGGGTAAACAGAACATGGCTTTGATTACCTTGAGCTTAACTCCCCAGCAATGCTACAAAGAAAAAAGCCAAGTATTTCATTTTGTGTGACCACTGATTGATAAAATGTCCTTTTTGTCCTTGACTGTTTAATCCCGGGTAGAGAGAGCATGTCTAGCTCCTGGTCTGCCGTTCACTTTGACAGCTCCGTGAATCCAGAAGATCCCTGTGTGCTAAAGATGCACTTGAGTTAAGCTGTAGCTAATTTACTGGCATTTCGACCAAGCCAAGCTTTTTTGACCTAGACACCCATGGCACGTGAGCTGGATAATGCTTGGCTGTGGCGGGGGCCATCCTGTGTGTAGTAGGATGTTTCTTGGCGTCCCTGGCCTCGATCCACCAGATGCCAGCAACACCTCTCTCCCATTTGTGACAACCAGAAATGCCACCAGCACTGCCCTGGGGGCAGCACTTGTCACCTGGGGGACAAAACTCCCTGGTGAGAACCACCAATCTAAACATTTTCTCTTCTTTAGTTAACAGCTTCTACAGAACACCGAGTGGAACAGCATAAATAAGTGTTTATGGACACAGATAAAATAATGAAGGAGATGATAACATCCCTCTTCCTTTCAAGTGTCATTTTTGGGGGCCTGTAAGTACCAGATGGGCCACTGGTGACCATAACCAGCATGCTATGACGACTAGCAGACCTAAACCCCGCTGCTCCCCCGGGAAAGGAAGAATCCAGGGTGAGGTGGTCCCTGATTTAAAACTGTGGCTAAGACTGAGCCCTCTTCCCACTATGGCTGCTCCTGACGTTCATCTCCCGATCCACTGATAAGAGGCGGGATACAGTCTCCCTGTGAGTGATGTCCTGTTGGCCCACACAACTGTGAGTTCCAGAAAGAATAAAAGCAGTAAGGGACACTGGGTCAGGAGTACCTGGGTGGTGGGAAAGACAGTCCTCTGGCTTGCCTGGGAGCGAGTGTGGGGGGCCAGTTTGGGCTCAGAGCCCTTAGAGCCTGTGGGCTTTCCTCGTCTTTTTTATTCTAAAGAGCCCCATGTGTTAGATGAGATAGCTTTTAAAAACTGCCCAACACTGGGGCGCCTGGGTGGCTCAGATGGCAAAGCCCCCAACTCTTGATTTTTGCTCAGGTCACGGTCTCACAGTTTCAGGAGTTCAAGCCCCACATGAGCTCTGCGCTGACAGTGTGGAGCCCACTTGGGATTGATTCTCTCTCTCTGCCACTCCCCCACATGCATTCTGTCTCTTCAAAATAAAAAAGAAGAAAACCTGCCCATCACTACCTTCTGGTTTTCTCCCAGTGCACTAATGCTTGCCCTCCGACCGGTCGGTCATGTCCCCCCCTGGGGCCTTGAGTTTCCCCTCAGCAGGGCTGATGGTCATGAGAGCTACCTGCTGCACTGGGGCCTGACTCCAGGATTCATGTCAAGTAAGGACAGCAGGTGAACTAGATCAAGAAGGAATGTGGTAACCAAGAAGTAGGCGGTCACTAGCCAGGACTCCGCCTCCCCAGGTCTGCTGTGTAAACGAGATGACTGTACTGCTCAGAGCCAACGAGCACCCAGTCAAAAGACCACAAGGCGATGTTAAGGTTTTTTTTCATGTTTTCAACTATGGTACCGTTTTTAAAACCACACGTCTCCTTACTATAGGGGTTTGACCTCTGTTAAAGGGATCTTCCCGCTCGTACCCCCAGTGCTGCTGTTCTCGGGTATTTAAGCTGCCACTGGACGAGCTCACCTCGCAGCGTCAGGGCCCCAGAAGGCGGTGATGCCCAATCCCTTTCCTCTGTGCCACGCGTTCCGCGCGTCAGCTCCTGGGGCACGCACCTGGTCTGGGGGCGGCCGGCCCGTCCTGCAGGTCCAGTGAGGGGCCCGCGCCCTCGCCGGGCTGAGGGCCGTGCTGCCCGGGCCTGTGGCCCAGGAGGTGGTACTTGTAGATGTCCATCATCAGGAACTCGTTGAACTGCACGTGCTCGTGGCGCTTCAGGGGCGTGCCGTGGCTGGACCAGCTCAGCCGCTGGAGGTGGATGCACAGACACTGAGGGAGCTGCGGGCAAGACAGACCGGAGGCGGCCGAGTGTTGGGGGCGGGACCCAGCGAGTCCCCGAGAGCTAGGCCGACGAGGCGCGCGGCGCGGGCTCACCTTCCCTAGTTTCAGCTGCTTGACGAAGGTGGTCCTCTGGTGTTCCACCTTCTCCCCATTCGACGTCCCTTTGGCTTCGATCTGAAATGAAAGAGACCTGCCTCTGCAGAATTTCTGAAATGCAACATCTGTGAGGGCCGCGGGTGGGGCTGGTGTTCTGCTGCGTTCGGCTGGCCCTCGACCTGGACCCTGCTGAAGGAGCTCAGCCGCCCGGGGAATCGTGAGCTGTTCTCACTGTCTCAGTCGTCAAGTGACAATGACAGAGGGGGCCAGAGAGGTGAAGAAGTGACACTAGAACTTGGACATGGGCATGTCATCTGTTCTGTGTCTTCAAAGCTTCTGCTCCACGCGGTTCCCCTTCTTCAGAGGAAGAAACACAAATGCCTAGGGGAGTCGGGCAGGTAGGCGTCAGTATGGCAGGGCATGACATGGGGGGACAGGGGGGCATATGTGGGGGCAGAGTTTTCCTGTAAACATGTGGATGAAATAAAACTCATCCGGGAAAGAGGTCTGGTCCATGGGCTACCGATTTCCTAGCCAAGTTACATGGCTGTGGCTGAAAAGACCATCGGGGCATTGTCAGAAGGGCTCGCTGTGAGAGGTGCTGTATCATGACACACAGGCCCCGGCGGCGGGGGGGGCGGGGTTCCTGGGGGGCGACAGTGGGGGTGAGGGGCATACCTGCGTACAGTTGTCACATACGACATCCCGCACTGATTCTGATGAGATAAAGTGGTGAAGGCAGTGGTCCAGGGTCAGCGGGTGCCCCTGCAGCACCAGAAAACAAAATTCACAATTGCAACTTAAAGGAGAGCTACACCGAAACTACTCACAGATGGCAGAGAGAGCCAGAGCTTTATGTTTGCTTTTATGGGCAATAAAGCTTCACAGATACTGCTGGACGTTCCCCGAGCAAGCGTGGGGCTCAGGGCACCCTAAGATTGCCACTACGAGCGGATTCAAGGCTATGAGGACGCAACACTGCACAAACTTAAGGACTTCTACACTGTTTTAAATATCTTTGAATTTGAGGTTAACAGGCATGTGTGTGTGTAGATTCAAAAAAGCCAAAATTCTGGCAGCCAGAGAAAAACCATCCGCTCTCTTCTCCCCCCAAATCGGGCCACGGTACCACACGTGACAACTAAGGCGGTTCACCACGTGTCCGAGTGACGCACAGCACGTCAGCTACACAAAACACCTCAAAGCCCTTTTAGACTTAAAGGTCTCCAAGATAGACCCCAAATAAACCACCGCTCGATACATACCCACGTGGCAGCTGGGATACTCAGTGAAAGGCTATCGAAGGTATCGAATCGAACAGGACTCTGAAACAAACAGTGCAGAAAATCCAGAAAGGATGTAGGTTCAAGCCAGAGCTTTACAGACGGGAAGACACATGAAACAGTTTAATATTCAGGGGCCCCACGTTAACATGATGGGACCCAGTGTACTTACCCAGAGGCAAATTCTGTGACAGACCACCTTGTCAACCTTAACGGGTGCAGTAATGCAGAAGCACGGCTTGTAAGATAACTACAGAACACGCCTGACCCAGCAACGTAGGGGTTCTATCCTCGGGAAATAACCCTGAACAAAACTGCAAGGATGTTCATCGTAGCACAATGTGAATAGTTGAAATTTCTAGGGAATGATCAAATAAATTATATCGTGTCCACAGAATAGAACACTACGTGAAAAACGGTAGAGCAGAAGAATGTGTGAGTATACAGAAAGATAGAAAGATGTGCCTGTTACATAATTAGTTGCAAAAAAAAAAAAAACCCTAGATGATAAAATAGGGTAAGAATTCGTGCTTTTGGTGATGGCAGAGTAGCTTGGCTAGGCCAGCTGTCCTTGAGACAATACATATACGTTCTGGATCAAAACAAAGCACAGAGACTGGAGAGCTACCGCCAGCGCTGGGGAAACCGAGCTCTGCGGGGAGATCGCCACTGGCTGACTTGTTGCCGGGGGTGCTCCCCAGTCTATGCAGCGCAGGGCTGAGTGGCAAGTCTTACGGGACGCTGGGATCAGAGGCCTGCGTCCGGGGCCGGTACAGAGGCTGGGGGAAACCCCAGGAAGAGAGCAGCCACAGAGAGGAGGAGCCCCCGGAACAACGTCTAGACCCGGCCCGATTCCAAGGCACGCACATGACGTGTGCACACCCACGCCCAGACACACAGGGAAGCTCCAGGGGCCTAGCGAAAAGCAGGATTTAGAACCTGAGAACACCCAGCCGGGATTCTGCTGCCCGATGTGGGGAAGACAGTTTAGCTTTGAGCTCAGCCAAGTTAACCCACACACCGGAATAGAATTCATTTTTTAGGGAACTGTAACAGAATCCAAAGTGTCTACTACAAGTTAATATGCAATAAAAAATGACTAGACACACATTACAGAGAGAGATGAAAACGCGAGCCATGGCGAAGGATCCTACAATGACCTGGATACTGAAATGAGCACAAGGACCTTCATAACAACTATGACAAATATGCCCGGGACACAAAGGAGACAGTTATTCAGTCCTGGTGGAGGACGAAAGGGCGGTGTCGGCAGATAAACGGCAACTATGAAGAACCAAATAGAAATTATACAACCAAGAGCAACAATAACCAAAATGAAAAGCTGGCTGGACAAGCACATAAACTGAAGATGGAGAAGAGTCTGGGAACTCGAAGGTTAAGTCAACAGAAATTACCTAAGTTGACGGACAGGGAGGAAAAAGGCTGAAGAAGAGCGAACGAAGCCTCAGTGAGCTGTGGAACAGTACCAAGTGCACCAACAAGTAGAGAAAGGGGCATAACATTTGGGGGAAAAACAATGGCAAAAAAGGGCACAAATTTGGTGGAAAAAAGGTACAGATTTATGAAATGCAGCAAATTCCAAGCAAATACAAAGAAAACCACAGCTAGGCACAGCAGAGACAAACTGCCAAAACTCAAAAATAAAGAGAAAAACCCTGTAAGCGCGCAGAGAGACATGTACACTGTACATATAGAAGAAGGGCAGGAATGATGTCAACTTTGCATTAGAAAAAATGGAGGCCAGGGGCGCCTGGGCGGCTCAGTTGGTTAAGCGTCTGACTTCGGCTCAGATCATGATCTCATGGTTCGTGAGTTCGAGCCCCGCGTTGGGCTCTGTGCTGACGGCTCAGAGCCTGGAGCCTGCTTCAGATTCTGTGTCTCCCTCTCTCTCTACCCGTCCCCTGCTTGCACTGTCTCCCTCTCTCTTTCAAAAATAAACAAACATTAAAAAAAAATAAAAAGAAAAAAATGGAGGCCCGAAGACCACAGAACAACGCCTTCACAGAGGAGAACTGCAAAGAAACAAGGCATGCCTGGGGGCTGCCCCTTCCACACTTTGGGGGTTGGGGGCAGCCGGGAGAGAGCATGGAGGATGGAACCCTGCCCAGAGCTAGGAGACTGGGCCCTGGCTCTGCCAGTCTCTGAGGTCGGGATGTGTCTCACATCCTCAGGGGGCCCTGACTGGTAGGGTGGAGGGCATTCAGTGGGCAAGGGGGGAGGCAGGAGCTCAAATAGCAGCCTACACGGTTCGGCTCCGCCCCCAAAGGGATGATGTCACTCACATGCACCCACTTCCAGGCCTGTCTTCTTGCCTCAGTGGCCCCCACGTATCACCTCAGTAATTCTTTGTCTGATGCTCAAGTGTAATCTGCAGACTGCTTCAAACACCGCAGGTGGCCGTGGTAGGAGTGAGTAGATGCAAATCCGGCAGGGGCAGGCAGACTGGGGGGCGGGTGGGGGGGGGCGGCAGGAAGGGAGGACTCTGTTATCTAGAACAATTACGAGAAATTCACCAGCCACAGGTTGTGAGGCTCCTTCTGTCCCTGCTAGGTTGCTCAAGAAGTAATGCGTTTTCTTTCCTTTTTTTTTTTTAATGTTTGTTTATTTTTGAGAGAGAGCGTGTAGGAGGGGGGTAGAGAGAGAGGGGGACAGAAGTTCCTACGCAGGCTCTGCACTCACAGCAGTGAGCCTGATGCGGGGCCGGAACCCACGAACTGCGAGATCATGACCTGAGCCACCCAGGCGCGCCCCGGTAATGTGCTTTTTAGAGCTCATCAGCAAGGCACGGAGAGGCGCCACGGCGAAGCCTCCTTGAAGGCTTATTTCCCCTACTACTCTTCACCTAGACATTCCCCTTTCCCTTCCTTTCCCTGGCGTCGTGAGACAGCAAGTCAAACTGTGGAAGGCATCTGGACACAGGGTTGTCACATGCTGGAAGGGACACCAAGCAGTCCCATGTGCTCCGCCCGGCTGGTCTTCCCTTCCACACACTGAAATGACTTTTCGTGGTTATCCATTTCCTAATGAGCCACCGTGGCTGGAAACAGATGGGCCAAATTACTTCAGTCAGAAAAGCAAATGAATCCAATCAAATCAAACCAAACCAAACCAACAGCAACCCCAAATCTGTATCCAACAAAACTATTCTCGAAAAGAAAAGAAAAAGGCAAAACGGAAGCATTTTCATGTAAATGAAAACCAAATGAATTTGTTGCCAATAAACTTGTAAGATTGAAGGAATCTTTTTAGGCCAATGGGGAAAACCACCAGATGGACCTGGGTCTACAGAAAGGACCAAAGAACACTGAAAATGGTAACAGAAAACCTTTTTTCAAAAACTTCTTTTAATTAAACACATAAACTGCTTAAAGCAAAAATTATGACATTGTGGAGTTTAGAATATGCAGATGTAATATATATGACAAAAATACTACAAAAAATGGGGTAATGGAACTTTACTTTTCTAAGTTTCCTGTATTTTACGTGGAGTATATGAACTCTAAATAGACCATGGATGCATGAAAATTGCATGATGTAATTGCGCGCAGGTACGCACACACACACAGACACACACCCCAATGTAAAAAAGTAGAGCTAAAAGCCAACAGAGAAATTCAATGGAATACTCAGAAGTACTCAAATAACCCAAAGGAAAGCAGGAAAGGAGGCGTAGAGGAACAAAAAAGTTATTATATGAGACAAATAGTAAACAAATGGTAAACCAGCAGACTTAAGTCCAACCACATAAATACTTAGGTTTAAATGTAAATGGACTAAACACACTAATCAAAAGGCAAATTGTCAAACTAAACCCAGTTATATGCTGTCTACAAAAGCCACACTTTAAATACAAAGACAAAAATTAGGTAAAAATAAGAGGATAGATAGATAAATAGATAGATAATTAGAGAACAGAAGGAGATATCCTAAGAAACACTAGTTAGAAACTAACCGGACAAAACAGACTCCAAGACAAGGAGATAAAAAGGGACACTTTATCAGGACAGGAAGAGTCAACTCCTCATAATAGCCCACGTGCATATACTTTACAGCAAAGTCTCACAAGAAATTCTGCAAAAATAAAAGTAAAGAAAGAAAAAAAGACCCAGATAATCCTAGCAAATATTTAAGGAAGAAACAATACCAAGCTTAACCGAAGTCCTTCAGGAAACCGAGGAAGAAGGAACACTTCGCAGCTTATTTGATAAGTGTAGTGTAATCCTCACAAAACCTGACAGAAGACATCACAAGAAGACCCTGAGACCAATATTCCTAGTGAACATAGACACTAATCTCCTTTAGATAATATTAGCAAATCAAGTCCAGTAACATATGTAGAGAATATATCACAATAAAGCAGGATTTATTCCAGAAACACAGGCCTGGTTTAACGTTAGAAAAATCCATCACTGCAACTCACCATATTAAGAGAATAAAAGGAAAACATGATGCTGAGTGAAAGAAGCTAGTCACGAAGGACCACATACTGTATGGCTCCCTGTACATGAAATGTCCAGAAGAGGCAAAGCAATAGAGACAGAAGCAGGTCAGTGGTCACCAGGGGGCACAAGTGGGGGGGGGGGATAGAGACTAACTGCTAATGGTACAGGTGGTTTTCGGTGGGGGGATGAAAATATTCTAAAATGGATCAAGGTGAGAATTACGCATTTCTCTATGTATTTATGTCGGAAATTTTCCAAATAAAAAGTTATTTTAAAACATCAAAGCAAAACAAAAACAAAAACATCCCAAATGAGAATTTGTTGTGACTACCATCAGTATAGACCCAACCTTGAGACTTGAATTCCTGCCAATCCACAATGGGTCTGCGGCTGTTAGTACAGAACATACCACCCAAGGGTCAAATGACAGGTTGCCCCTGACCAAAGGGAGACAGTCAGTCCACTAAGTGTGAGGAACCCAGGCGATGACAAACACCATATGCCAATGTCAGTCCACACTCTCCAGATGCTTCACGGATCCTAACTTGCAAAACCCACACTAGAAAAGTATCAAGCACTGCGCCGCAGTTACCTGGTGCTCACAGTGCTTGCAGACCATGTTGCTCGTAAGTCTTCCATGGAACGGATGCTGGGATTTCCAGTGATTGGACGTGGGGTGAGGCGACCCTGGAACACAGAACACGTTTGATAGGCCACCTCTAGCCCTTTGGCACCAACCTCAAAACTCACCCTCCTTTTCAGTACATGGCAGAAACTCCCACTTTAGAAAAAAAAATGTTCCTGGGAAGTAAACTGGAATAGCTTTCCTTACCGACTTCCGTCAGAAAACCAACCCGTTCCCTTTCACAGGAGAATTTACACAGGTCCTTAAATGTGGTTTCCGTATAATGGGTATGGCCATGTTTAAAAAAGGAATTTGTGTTGAATACTGTATTTTCACAAACATTCGTTTTAAAATGTTTGAGAAGTCCAAAGATGGATACCACAAGTGAACATCCCAGAAAGTGAGATAAGCTTCTGAAAATCTTCAGAATAAGTTCTGAAAAACTGGGATTTTTTTTTTTTTTTTTTTTTGATAGGATGGGAGTTAGAGGAATAAACAGCATGGTGTTCTGGTCAGAAACACACACCCTAGACTCTGGCAACCCTGGGCTGGGTCCTGGCTTTGCTTCTCATTAGCTCTGTGACCCGGGAAGTCACCTCATCTCTGTGAGCCTCCTTTTGCTGGAAATGGAGACAATTATCACTCCATTAGCCCCATGATCATTCCATACACACAAAGGAATCAGTGTGTCTTTTTTTTCCCCTTAAGCTTAGGTCTTAAGAAAACAGTTTCCTTCTGAGGAGGACTGTGATCGTTGCTGCGGATATGACAGGTTCAGCTTTATTAAGTTCCTCGAATAAGATCAAGTCAAGAAGGTATAAAGGAAACCCCTGATTGAGGTGGAAATAAGTCCACTACTTTTGTGCGGAGCTGGAAACCGAGCACGGCCCTGGTATGAGGGAACAAGTCAAGACGGTCCAAGGGAGCAACGTAAAGCTGTTTGTATAACACAACCTCCTTTGCGAATACACACAGTTCACGCTGGGCTGGAGGTCACCGGAAAAAAAAAAACAACTATTTTTCTTCAACAGCAAATCACCATCACATCTCAAAAGTACCCATCTGCTGCGTTACAGTTCAAGGGGAATGATCACCTCTCGTGCGGCACGTTATCTGTTTAGGAGTTATCTCTGGCTGCTGCTGTAGGGAAAAAAGAAAAAAGAAGAGAGACTGAAGACCCCGCTGCAGTCCCTTTACCACCCTCACCCTCTGCTCCCACAGCTTCTCTGCTGGTGGCGCCACTCAGACCCGACTTTTAACAAGAGATCCTAAAAGCAGCCCTGATGATCCTCTCTGCTTGGCGACTGTGCCTAGTCATCAAATGCAATCAAAACACATTTCCTCCCTCTGGAATATTCTCTCCCACCCCCTTACTAGTTAACTTTTATCAACTCCCTAATATTTATAATGTTCCAGGAAAATAAGGATTCGTTAAGCGTTCCTATGCTTCCTCATTCCCTAGATTACATGTTGGGGGGTGGGGTGGGGGGATACCTTTTCTTCTCAAAGCCAACATGAATCGCAGTAATGAATCATTTTAAAGAGCATTGATACCCTAACCAAAGTCATCAATTGTAAAGTTTACAGCTTAAGACAATCCCCCAGCCCTTCTCCCACTCGTGATTTTTATTAAGACTTTTTTTTTGACAGAGAGCATGTGCATGTACAAGGGGAGGGGCAGAGGGAGACGGAGAATCCCAAGCAGGCTCCAGGCCCAGCGCAGAGCCCAACGCAGGGCTCGATCCCACAACTGTGACATCATGACCTGAGCCAGTATCAAGAGCTGGATGCTTAACCGACTGAGCCACCCAGGCGCCCTGAGACCTACTTTTGACTTTAAAGTGGTACAAAGATGACCCTTGTGTTCCCTATACCTATTAAATCTGCACGAACCACACACACGTATTGTAAGTGTGAATGGCTCACCTCCAGGGAATGCACGTCAAACAAATGTGTGACTCGGGGCTGCCGGTCCCGCTCATCTTCCAGCGACGAGGTAATGACGTGGAATAACTCGTGGGCATCCTGTCAAGGCCAAAGCAGCTTCAGAGAGGCCCAAGGAGGTGGGGCCGCATCAGAACCCCACTAGGTGCACCTGCAGCTAATGGGGCAGGATTTGCCTTCCACCTTCCCAAGGTTCAGCCCACTGACTTACATCCCAGACACTTTCACAGTAAAGGCCCTCAACTAAGGGGCTCAAGGGGAGAGAGGGAAGGCAAGCTCGGGGCGCGGGGCTGCCTTCACACCACCGTCTCTCAGCCTGTCTCAGCTTTGTCAACATGGCCCTGACCTCTGCTCTGCCTACTTTTTTTGTTATTATGGTAAAATATACACATTACATAAAAGTTACCGCTTTAACCATTTTGAAGTGTACATTTCTGTAGGGTTAAGTACCTTGTGTCACCGTCAGCATGGCCCATCCTCTGAACTCTCCCAGCTTCTCTAACTGAAATTCTGTCCCCATCAAACACCGGCTCCCTGCTCCTCCATCCCCGGGCCTGGGCCACCATTCCATTCTTATTCTCTAAGAATCTGGCCACTTTCGAAAACCCACACAAGGAATCACACAGTATTTATCCTTCTGTGACCAGCTTACTGCACTCAGCACAATGTCCTCGAGGCCCGTCCACGCTGTAGCCCGGGTCACAATTTCCTTCCTCTTTCCCCATCTCAGGCCTGTCCTTGGCGCTCCCGCCTGAGCAGCTGGCCCACATCTTCACACAGGGCCCCCTGCTGAAAAGGCACCTGCTCGAGGAGACCCTCCCTCAAGGGCTCTCCCTGACTCAACCCTCCCCCCCCAGCCAGGGCAGCAGCGTCCTCTACCCGACACACACCCCAAATCCCAGAGGACTCTGCCTCCCTGCCCCCGAGGCAGGCCACCCCGGCCCAGATGTCTGTAACGGCCTCTCCACTTCCTTCTCTGCTCCCTGGGCCGCACTCCGGCCCCTGGGTCCAGCATGTCCCGTTCACACGTAAACCAGGTCACAGCAGGTGCTGTACGAAGCCACCAGTGGTCCCCGACCGCACACCGAGTAGAAACCCAACTCCGGCCCAGGGCACCCGGGGCCCAGCACAACTCGCTCCCGGCCACCGTCTGCATGCCCCCCCCCCCACCCCCACCCTGCAGCTGCCGCTGGCCCCAGCCACACCGACCTCCGGACCCTTTCGCCCTGCATGGTCCTGTCTGGGGCATTCTGCACCCAGCTCGTCAAAGGACTCACTTCTCTCCAGACTTCAGGTCTCAGCAACAATCTCGGGTCTCCGGAAGAGCCTTCCCTACCTGAAGGAGTCCCCCTGGCCCCCCTTTTGTCTCCCCGCCAGCTCCAGGCCCCAGACACTCACACTGTCACTGTCACATCAGCACGCTTATCTTCTGGTTGGCACATCTTGAAATGACCTCTATACAGTCCACAGAAACCTGCAAGCCACATTTGCGCTACACCCCCCTCCCCCCCCCGCCCCCAAGGGCAGAAGAGGGCCTCAGAGAACAGACCTTACTAAACTGGCTCTGTGCCCTCGGGCAGGTGTGTGTACACCTTTGAACCTCAGTTATCTGTAAAATGGNCCCCCGCCCCCAAGGGCCCTGCCCGAGGCAGGCGTTCAGTAGGTGTTTGCTGCAGGGGACGACCCACAGGAATCTACTCCTGCAATCCTTACTGCACCGTATGCCAGCTAACATGGAAGCAAATTAAAAATAAATATTTGTTGCATGTATAAAGGAAGCCCCTCCTAGGCTACGGATGGCAGTGATGGAGACAGAGCTAAATAAGGCAAGGTCCTTGAAGTCCGCACAACCTGGGGTGGATGCGGCAGCCGGGCTGCTAATTAGTGACAGTGCCCCGGCCTGAAGGGGCCCAGCTCTTCCCAGGTGGCTCACAAACAAGGTGCCTGGGCCAAGCCCTGAAGCTGCAGCAGGGGTTCGCCAGGGAGAAAGGTCTCAGGACAGGATGCAGTGAGACGCAGCCCTGTCTCGGCGAGCCACAGAGCTGTGTGGCCTCAAGAAGGGACAGTATCGCAGTCTAGGGTAGGGCTCCGGTACGTGCTTTAGCACCAGGTGGGCTCGGATCCTGGCTCCGCCACTCAGATAGCTTTGTGACTTTGGGCAAGTCACTTTGCTCCTCTGAACCTCAGTGTTCTCGTCTGCAAGATGGGGACGATGACAGTGAGTCCTGACAGGGGTGTTGTCAGGATTAAATCAGAAGACTCAAAGGAGGCAAGCACCTGGCCCAGTACATGCGCCACAGCTCCGGCCCTGGACCCCGAAAAGTGGTCCATGGTACGAGTCTGCCGCTGCTTGACTCGGTCAGAACCACGGAGACGCGGACGGGCCCTGGGCCAGTAGCTCGGCTGCCTCCAGAGAGCGAGAGGCCGGCGGGCTGCCATGTGTGCCTCCTTCCTACACACATGACTGCATCACGTGGCTCAGGGACAGCTACGGGGTGAGTGTCTAACAGGGCTGAAGCTGTTAGAAACACAGCCAAGGAGTAACTGGGACTTTCGGTGGGACCTTGACAGACAAGCAGGACTTAGAAAAGGTATCTGATGTCCTTGGGACAGATTCGTGGTCATTCTCTTGGACTAGAGAGAGGAAAATGCAGCTAAGCCATGCCAGTTACCAGAGGAGGAATTAGTAAGAATTTTCTAAATGGAAAAACATTTCAACGTACAAGGGATTCGAGATGAATCCCAAGAAAGTAGAACCATCAACATCCGGTTTACAAAGTAACGCCTGCACAGCTTTGGACAGAACTGGAGACAGAGGCAGTCTTTAAAAACAAGGGGGGCTGGGAAGCCTTCCCACTGCACTTTTCAGCGTGGTTTTTTTTTTAATGTTTTATTTATTTTTGAGACAGAGAGAGAAACAGCTTGAGTAGGGGAGGGTCAGAGAGAGAAGGAGACACAGAATCTGAAGCAGGCTCCAGGCTCTGAGCTGTCAGCACAGAGCCCGATGCAGGGCTCAAACCCACGAACTGTGAGATCATGACCTGAGCCGAAGTCAGATGCTTAACCAACTGAGCCACCCAGGAGCCCCTTCAGTGTTTTTAAATGCATTTCACTCCCGTCCCTCCCCTCGGGGACCCAAAGGGTGTCTCCCATTTCTCAGGTCCACTGTCTGGATGGTAGGCACAAGAAGCCCACACAAAGCTGGTCCCCAGACCGCCATGGACAGGTGGCCGGGGAGGGTGTACCAGCGCATCACCCAAGGGGATGGGGTGGGGTCAGGACCTAAAGAGACAGTGACCTGCAGTTGTGGGAAAGGGGTACGAGTGGCTGGAATAAGGCCCTGGGGTCGCATAGGACAGATGCTCAAGGTCTGGGGCCACTTCAATTCATCTAGCCTCTAAAACTGGATTTTTTTTTAAATGAGGGTGTGGTTCAAAAAAGGGTCTCACCTGAACCTCTAATCCCAAAAGGTAAAGCCACCCATCTCACTCTCGAAGACCCAGGTGGCCCTAGCACCCAATGACACGCAAAGTCACTCCAGAACAAAAAAGAGGCTCGCTCTTTGCCGACGGTGTGTCTCTGCCCTATCCTGCTGACCTTTCGCCCGCTGGGTAAAACACACACACACACACACACAAAACCGCTGTGTTTCTTCTCTGATCACGAGAATGGGAACAAGGCTCATGATCTGGTCCCAGGATGCTAAGGCGAGGCTAGAACGCCACAGAATCATGCACTCAGGCCAGTCAAGTGCAAGGTCAATACCGGCATTTATGCTTCGTGCCTTAGCAACGAGGCTGGTTTCCAGCCATCAGTGCGAGCTCAGGCCCCGGCGGGGTCGTGGGCTGGGTGGGGTGTTCACCTGTTCTTCAAATGAGGAGATCTGCCATCTGTACATTCTCAGGACATCCAGCAAGCAGCTTGCGTCTAAGACCTCATCGTCGGTAACTTCTTGGCAGGACAGAGCTGGAAGCCAGAAAGGTGACGCAGTTAGTACATTCATCAGCCTGACAACAAGCCAGGAAGCCTGCCCTGGTTTGTTGTATAACGGATCAACGCTAATTAGGCATCTCACTGTAAAATCCCCCTTGGATTGTGGTTCTTTCATTATTCCTCTGTGCAGCCTCAACCAATGCATAGAGGGCTGTTAGGCACTGCATTTTGCCACACGAATGTAATCTATCATGAGGCTGTAGCATTTAAATGAAGGAACTGATTTCGGCTATTTGAATCATCATCATCAAAATGAATCGTTGCACGAGTCCTACTGAATGAAATGATTTTAACTCCCAACTCTGAGGGTGGGAGGCTGCTTAAGCCTTCATCTAGTCCAACCCGCACACAGTGCTTAACTCCCCCACACAGGACTCTCTCCAGGGCCACGGGGCCTTCACTTGAATCTGTCTGCACCGGAGTTTCTGGGTAGCACGGGACAAGCCCTACGTGGCAGCCTGAAAGGGTCTGCTGAGTAGTTCACTTCTCAGTCACACGTAGGACCGAGCCTAACAAAGACGAACGTGTGACGGGCCCACGAGCTTATACTGTAATTACAGCCAGATCAGCTTTGGCCAGCTTTCTCCGTAGGGGGCCCGACAGCAGGCTCTGCAGCAACTGCTCAACTCTGCTGCTGTGGCATCGAGGCGGCCAGACCGCAAGTAAGTGGGCATGGCTGTTTGAATAAAACTTTATCTACAAAAATAGGCAGAAGGGCAGATTTGACCCACGGGCCAGAGTTCGCAGGTTCCTGAGACTGACAGCCCCCTTCCGTCGCACACGTCACTGGCCCAGGGCTGCCAGAGTGTGGGGATGACAACACGGGGGCTGCCACCTGCAGGCAGTCCCCGAGGTCAGCTAAGTCCAGATCACTGAGGCCAGCCTGCTTCTTCTCTTTGATTTGCAGCCGGTGAACTGGAGCGAGTCCTTCGAATACCTGAGGCTCTGACTGAGGAGCCTGAACGTGGTGGGGACTTTGGGGGCGGTAGCCTCTGGAGAAGCAGCACCGGGGAGCCAGTGCTGAGTCCCGAGGCTCAAGGCTCATCTTAGCAGTGCAGACACACCCCGGTGTCACCCCTTTACCCTCCGGAACAAAGGACACCCACTAGAACTGAAGCCACACCTCCTTCCCCATACGCCCCTCAGGCAGCCTGTGGGGTAGCTTTTTCCTCTAAGGAAAATTCTCATGTCTCCTTTAGCCTAATCTTGCTTAAAATCCTGTGAGGTGATTTGGCAATATCTACTAAGTTTCCGGTCCTACGATTCACGTGCCAGCAGTCTGACTTTCTCAAGATCCACTGCAGGCAAACAGGCCCGTGGGCACCAGGGACAGACACAAGAGCATTCCCTGTGGCCTGCCTACCACAACATGGCACCGGAAGCCAATCCTGACGTTCTGGATACAGCACATTTGTGAGAGCGAATGAGGTTTGCAAACCACATATCTGATGAGGGACTGATGTCCAGAATGTATTAAAAGCTCCCAAAACTCAACAACAGCAAAAGCACAGACAACCCAATTCAAAAACGGACAAGGGACTTGAATAGCCATTTATAAAACAAACAAAACAACTATCCAAATGGCCAGAAACACATGAAAATTTATGCACAACATCGCTCATCAGTAGGGAAATGCCAACCTTTAAAACCACAGTGGGGCACGTTGGTGGCTCAGTTGGTTAAACATCCAACTTTGGCTCAGGTCTCATGGTCGTGGGTTTGAGCCCTGCGTCAGGCTCTGTGCTGACAGCTCAGAGCCTGGAGCCCTGTTTCAGATTCTGTGTCTCCCTCTCTCTCTGACCCCTGTTCACGCTGTTTCTCTCTCTCAGAAATTTAAAAAAAAAAAAAAAAAAAAAAACCACTGGGGCACCTGGGTGGCTCAGTCAGTTAAGCGTCCGACTTCAGCTCAGGTCATGATCTCACAGTTCGTAGGTTCGAGCCCCACATCAGGCTGTGCTGACAGCTAGCTCAGAGCCTGGAGTCTGCTTTGGATTCTGTGTCTCCCTCTCTCTCTGATCCTCCCCTGCTCACGCTGCCTCTCTCTCAGAAATAAATAAATAAATAAATAAACAAACAAACAAACCACCACAGTGAGCAATCACATCACACCCATCATGGCTTCTATCAAGCAGACAGACAGTAACAAGTGTTGGCGAGGCCACACCGGGACCCTCTGCACACCTGTGGGTGTGAATGCAGACTGGCGCGGCTGCTATGGAAAACAGTAGAGCGACTTCGCCCCAAAATGAAACAGAACTACCATTTGGTCCCACAACCCCATGTGCAGCTGCACAACCAAAAGGACGAAAGCAGGGACACGAGTAGATATTTGTACATCACGTTCATGGCAGTATCATTCACAAGAGCCAGAGGTGGAAATCACCCAAATGCCCCCTGACTTGTGAGCGGATAAACAAAATGTGGTACAGGCATACAGTGGAGCATTCTGACATGTGCCACAATAGGGGTGAACCTCAAGGACATGATGCCGAGAGAAACAAGCCAGACACATGGGCAAATTGTGTATGAGATGCAGGGTCGAAGTCACAGGGAGTAGAACAGTGGTTTCAGCGTATGGGGACAGGCGAATGGGAAGTCACCACTTAAGGGGACGATGGGAAAGGTCTGGTGTGAAGATGGGGGTGGCTGCACGGCAATGTGAATGCACACGGTGCTGCACAAGCGTGCCCCTGAACGTGGTTCAGCTGGTACATTTTATGCCATGCATATCTTGCCACAATTTTTAAAAACTGGGCAACAAAGGGGTGCCTGGGTGGCTCGGTCAGTTAAGCGTCCGCCTTGATTTGGTCTCCAGTAATGATCTCATAGTATGCAGGTTTGAGCCCCACATTGGGCTCCACACGGCTAGGGCAGAGCCTGCTTGGGATTCTCTCTCTCTGTCTCTTCCCAGATCTCTCTTTCTCAAAATGAATAAATGAAAAAAAAACTTTTATTACCAAAAAAAAAAAAAAAACCCCCCTGGGCAATGGAAATCAGCAAACAAGCCACAGAAGATGTAAGACCAATAAACTCACAAAAAGAGAAAAGAAATGAAGGAGGTAAAGCTATACGTAGGCACACGGACAGTTCTCCAACACGCATTATACTATTTGGTTATAAAAAAACATAAAACTATACGTTACTTTTGTGGGTACTTGAAAACATATTTAAATGCATAGAAAACAGTCTGGAAGGATACACTTATGTTTTACTCTGCGAAGAAAGGAGGAGAACAGGATTGGGGCAATGACAAAGGGAGCTGTGGCCGTACGTAACGATTTAATTTTTTACCACTGGAAGAAATTATTTTCAAACTGCCTGTTATACAGAAGAGCAGATCTCGCTTTCTGGGTCAGGCTGGGCTCACCAGGGACAACACCCCAGTGAAGCAACAGTGAGCCGACTGCTTTTTAAAATCCAATTTCTTCCTGGCTGTGAGAGTAATAGGTGCTTACTGCTGAAGGCTTTAGAAATACGGTTGTTTTTGTTTTGTCTTAATGTTCCCAGACTATCAATCATATAAGACCAGTGTGGCCCGTCCAGCCTTTATCTGTGGAAAGTTCTGCTTTGCTGAAGTCAAATTACATCATATTTTGAACACTGATCTTTTAAACTTAGTATTATCATCTATGCCTCTCCCAAATTAAAAAACATTACATACAATACAAAATTTCATAAAGATGATGCAGGGGCGCCTGGGTGGCTCAGTCAGTTAAGCGTCCGACTTTGGCTCATGTCATGATCTCACAGTTCCTGGGTTCAAGCCCCACGTCGGGCTCTCTGCTGACAGCTCAGAGCCTGGAGCCTGCTTTAGATTCTGTGTCTCCCTCTCTCTCTGACCCTCCCCTGCTCACACTCTCTCTCTCTCTCAGAAATAAATAAAAACATTAAAAAAAGAATTAAAAAAAAAAAAAAGAAAGCTGGCTTAGAAAAGAACTTGGATCGGCGCATTCTTAAAACCTTTACCAAAGCTGCACACATGTGACTCCCCACGCTCGCCATTCCTAAACCAGTTTGTTCTTAGAACTCCGTTTCAGGCTAGTGCAGCTCACGGCCAACAGAATTACCAGGGCAAATGGTAGTGAAGATTTTGCAAGCCATCGCCGTGCGGTTCCAAGCCACCTTCCATAAAGTTTGCCCTACATCACGCCACCGCCAGCATGTTTGAACGTGTCATCCATCAGCACCGCAGATTCGTTTTTCAGTCTCTGCTGACAAGCAAAACCACGATAACCCCACCAGTATGTTATTCATATTTCTCTGATAATGGCCAAGGTGAATATTTGAGCATCTGTTAGATACGCTGTGTATCTACCCAAGTACAATCTGTACTATTTCTTTTGTAAATTACCTTATTTCTTAGGCTAAAACACTTCTTTTCTTCCAACTTTAATAAACCAGAGTACCTCTTACAATCAAAATGCTTAAGGGGCAGTGGATTTGTTTTCTTCCCTAAAAAGGCTATTAACAAACTGACAATATTTAAAATAAATGGTTACATCTTTAATTAAAAAAAAAAAAAAAGCCGTTTGAATCTACTGGACCCTCCTTGTTTTGCTTTTGCCATTAATGATCTGTGTGATCTTTTTTCACACAAAGGCTCTTAACCCTTTGCCTGTCATCTGGGCGCACAATCCCTTTAAATTTCAAGAGGCGCACAATCCCTACTAAGTTCCCAGCTCAATACCTTTGAGCAGGTGCAGCAGGGTTAAGGATAGATACTGGTGTGCGGGGGGCTCCTGCTGGTCCCGGGTGTACTGGGTGGTGAACTCCTCCAGCCACTTGATGAAGGCGGGGCAGGCAGATAAGCCCTGCAGCAGCGAGTTCATGAAGCAGGTGTTCCCCAGGTTGACCAGGCCGGGCACCAGCCCTGAAAAAGTCGGGGGAGGAAGAGGAAAGCACATCACGTTGGACCAGCTCTTTTTGTCTCTCCCGTTCAGGGAGCCAGACTTTCTGCTCCGTGGCCTGGAATTTGAAATCCCAACCTCACCAAGTGCTTGTCCACAGACATCGGGGGGCCAGGCCTTCTCTCCATGCCGAGGCCCGGCCCTAGTCCGGCTCCTCCGGGAGCCTGTGAGTGACAGAAGGAGCCCCACCCCCACCCCCCCGTCACGCGGCACGTCTGCAGGCCACCACTGTGTCTGGCACCGTTGGGTAATGTCGAGTGTACAGAAACACTGAGTGGCCACATCTCTCTCTGTCTCCCCTTCTTTCTCTCCTTTGATAAGAAAGCAACGTTTCTCAGAAGAAAACAATTGCTTGCTTGTTGCTCTCCAAGACAATGATTTTGTTCTTAGAATCAGTGGGAAAGACAGCACCAGGGCAACTGTGATCAGTCTTTCTGCAGAGACATCAACAAAGCCGGACCTGCTTCCCTCTTCGGCTGACACTTTTTTAAAAGACCCTTTTTTTTAAATATAAGTTTGCAAACGTGCGCAGAAGAAGAGGGGATATAAAGAACTCTCATCAGAAGCAGCCCCAGATTTCACAATGATCAACACTTCGCTACATCTATCCCTTTTTTGTTTGCTGACTTTTAATCAACATAATGAAGATAGCATTTTCAAAAGGGAGTGTTTTTTTTTCAATAAGAGAATTTTGCATTAAAGACACGAATTTGGAACGTTTACCCATGACTAGCAGCTGGTCAGTGAGCCCACAAAAGCGTCACACACTGAGCAGCGCAAGGGCCGTGATAAGGGGAACAGCCACATGAACTTGTTCATCACAAGCATGTCTCAAACTCAAGACTTTAGAGGGGGTGACACAGAAATCTTTTCACTACAGGGTCTATGATAATGAGTCATTAAGATGAACTTCTGGGGCGCCTGGGTGGCTCAGTCGGTTAAGTGCCCAACTTTGGCTCAGGTCATGATCTCACGGTTCGTGTGTTCAAGCCCCACATCGGGCTCTGTGCTGACAGCTCAGAGCCTGGAGCCTGCTTCTGATTCTGTGTCTCCCTCTCTCTCTGACCCTCTCCTGCTTACGCTCACTCTCTCTCAGAAATAAATTAAAAAATAAAATAAAATAAAATAAAAAAATAAAAAAGACGAACTTCTGTTTAAAAGAAAGTCCTGTTCAGAAACTGAAGATAGATGAGAACAACGAAATAAAAAAAAACCCTCCCTTTTTTGTACTGTTTTGGGACAGTAAGGGCTGGGGTCAAGTCCATAGACTAGGATGCAATGCCCTCATTCTTACCTTTTCTACGCTTCTTTCTTTCTGTAATGGGACCCCAAATCACATAGATTCCCGCGGCAAGAGCAGCAGCAATCCCCCCGATGACACCCCAGTTCTTCATGACTTTATATCTAAAAGAGAGAATAGGTTTACTGTCTTCCCTCATCATGAACACAATACACATAAATACAGATACAAGTACACAGAAATAACATTTCACCAAATTAACCGAATGACCCACCAAACACCTAATTTTCAAGTTGAAGTAATAATACAGTTAGGATTATGTCTGGAAAACCAACACGTTTAGACATCAGGATTTAAAACCAAAGTCAGCGCACAGAAGCCCCGTCTCCCTGAGGGGGGAAGCCAAGGTTCTCCCCTTATTCTGTCTCCCATGTTGCTGTCACGCTGGCCACCTCAGGGCCTTTGCACTGCTCCTCACTCTGGCTAGAATGCTCTCCCCACGGATCACTGCATGGCTCTCTCTCACCTCCCCTTCTTTTTTTTTTCTTTCTTTTTTTAATGTTTATTTATTTTTGAAAGAGACAAAGCACAAGCGAAGGAGGGGCAGAGAGAGAGAGGGAGACACAGAATCCAAAACAGGCTCCAGGCTCTGAGCTGTCAGCACAGAGCCTAACCCAGGGCTTACACAGAGCTGTGAGATCATGATGCAGGGCTTGAAATGAAGAGCCATGAGATCATGACCTGGGCCAAAGTAGGACACTTCACCAACTGAGCCACCCAGGTGCCCCCTCCCCTTCCCCTCTAACCAACAATTAGAACCTGGTTCCTTTCACCCGGTTCTGCTTGTCCTTGTTACCACCTTCTAACGTAGCATTCACCCATTAACTAGGGCTACTGTCTGTCTCCCCCCCGGAACAGCAGCGATCTTTATCTGCTTTACTCACTGACTTATCCCCAGTCTCTAGATCATGCCTGGCAACCAACAGGTTCCTAATAATATTTACTGAATGACTGGACACTGGAGAAAACATATAGAAATATGAAATAGGGAAGGGGCATACTATATATAGCATAACTGATCTACTAAACATTTACTAAATCAAAAATTTCTTAATTTGAGGCTTGACTTAAACACTGAAGTTGTTTTACTACAAATGAAGACATTTCAGCAATTTAAAACACTGTTTTTAGGCAAAGTTATGTTTTCCACCAAATAAGACAAACTCTGTGTGTATGTGTGTGTGTATATATATATATATACATACATGCAACATATGCTGGTATCTATGTGTTAGATATGCGTATATGTGTGTGTGATATATTCCTATGCCAATATTCGGCTCATGTGAATATTGTTTTGAGCTCAGCTCAGTCAACACTAACTCAGTGAAGAGTCACTACTGACACGGGTAACTCTGTCTACAACTACCAACATCCTCCTAAGGTCATAATTAATGTGATATATAACTGATAACGAAATTCTGAATAAATCTTTGTTCTCCCAAAACAGAGTCCATAGAACGTGCACAGAACTTGGTTGAGAAAGGGGAGTTGCGGTTCTGAGGCCCAGAAGGCATCGCTCCTGCAGCAGAGGGGACCCCCAAAGTATCCTGAGGCCTTCTCTGCACCTGAGGCGTGGCCATAAGCCTGGCCGCCATGGGGACGGGGTTTTGCCCGGCATCCTGCAGAAGCATTGCTGCATCTTACCAGACAGGAATACAGAGACAGAGAGTGAGTCGGGGAGGGGCAGAGACAGAGAGAGACATGGAATCTGAAGCAGGCTCCAAGCTGGCAGCACAGAGCCTGACGCGGGGCTCGAACCTATGAACTGTGGGATCATGACCTGAGCTGAAGTCGGGCGCTCAACCGACTGAGCCCCCTAGGTGCCCTGATATGTTAGGTTTTTTAAGAAGTTAAGATTCATCTACAGTTGATGAAACATTTCTTGCTATCAAATAAATTTTATAGTAATTTTGTAGCCAAAAAAAGAAAGGGGAGTTGTATTAATCTAATTCAATTCTGGCTCTTCTATTCTTTAGGGCATCATTCCACTTTCTCGACCTCAGTTCTGTCACCTGTGCAATGGGCACAACCATGAGACCTAGCTCACAGAGTTCTCAGAATCAAACAAGCACTGGTGCACAGGATGCTCAGTAAGGGCTTGGGGAGCCCAGGTGGCTCAGTCGGTTAAGCATCTGACTCTTGACAGCAGCTCAGATCATGATCTCGCGGCTGTGAGATCGGGCCGCACGTCAGACTCCGCGCTGAGCACGGAGCCTGCTTGTGATTCTCTCTTTCTGCCCCTCCCACACTCATGGGCTCTCTCTCTCTCTCATGGGCTCTCTCTCTCTCTCTCTCTCTCTCTCTCTCAAAATAAATAAGAAAACATTAAAAAAACCCAGAGGGCTTAATAAATGTTAGCTGCTACAATTGTTAAGTATTACAATCTCAATTTCATTTGTGAAAGTTATTCTTGAATTTCTTAGTGCACTGCTGCGCTGACTTCCACACAACAGGTGTGTTAATGGAAGTGCCTGGAAAGGTTAAAAAGAGCCGTCACCGAAATTCCAAAGCACTTGATAAGTGCTTTAAATTTTTTTTAATGTTTACTTATTTTTGTGAGAGAGACAGAGCGTGAGCAGGGGAGGGACAGAGAGAGAGGGAGACACAGAATCGGAAGCAGGCTCCAGGCTCTGAGCTAGTTGTCAGCACAGAGGCCGACACGGGGACTAGAACCAGGAGCTGTGAGATCATGACCTGAGCCAAAGTCAGATGCTTAATCAACTGAGCCACCCAGGCGCCCCTAACAGAACACTAATATTTAGGGGTGCATACTCTATGCCGGGCACTGTGATAATCTTATCTCATCCTGGGAACAATCCCACAGAGGTAGCTTCTATGATCATCTCCATGTTCTCGGGTGAGGAAACCACGAGACGGAGCCAGCTTGGTCGAAGTGAGAGGGGCAGCATGACTCTGAGCGCAGGCCTGTTGGGCTGCCGGGTCTGTGCTGGAAGCCACAGCCCTCCTGAGGGGCCCTGAAGGGCACGGCCACGAAGGAATGGGAGGCGGGCTTGCCCAGGTCCTCGGCAGGGTATGGACAAAACCCCCGGGGGTCAAGGGTGACTCCGGAAACCCCATTCCTCTGCAAAATGACAACACAAGGACAGGAGTGGGGTCTGGGGGTTAGAAGACCTGTCTTCTCCCTCCAGCTCTACTGTGAGGTCAGCTGCAGGCAAAGCAGAATGGATGCTTGGTTCCCATCCAGGGAATGGGGGCGCTGGCCTGGACCGCCGCTGAGGGCTCCGGGCCCGGGAATAAGCAGCTCTCTAGGCCTGCTCCAGTTCCAGAGGAAGGAAGCTGAGATAGGCAACAGGTCTCAGTCCCTCAGGGTCAGTAACGGGGGCGCAGTGCCCAGCTCTCAGGCCTGGAGCTGGCCTGGAGCCTGTGGGAGGGTGACTCAGAGAAGGGACACAGGGACCCTGACCAGGACTGGGGGACCTATACGAGTGGGGTTCCTCGCAGGGCTGGGGGACCATAACACGAATGGAACCCTTTGCAGGTTAAGGGGGCGCTGATCGTTCCAGGGACTCTCGCAAGATAGAGACTCACTAATAAGATTGAGAATAAGGGATCCCTGGCTTAATTAGGGGGGTGGGGAGGTGGGGCAGGGCAGGAATAGGGGTACTGACAACATGGGGCAAGCCCCGGGGTGCTTTGCAGGGCTGCGAGCACCGAGGCGGGATAGGGGAGCGCGGGCAGGTCAGGAACTGACATGGCTGGGGGGTTCATAAGGATTGGGGGTACCCCTGAAAGGATTAGGGGGTCCCCGGAAGGCCTGCGAGGCACGGAGAGGTCTGAGGGGCACTGACAGAATTCGGGGCTTTGACGAGCCCGAGGGTGTGTGGCAGTTCTGGGGACAAGGACAGGACTGGAGGAGGCACCGGCGGGCGGGGACGGGGGGGCAGGGCACCGAGAGGATTTGGGGCGCTGGCAGAACTGGCGTTGCCGAACAACCTGAGGCCCTAGAGGCCCATCCCTCGTCCCGCCTCGGGGGCCTGGGTCTCGTACCGAGCCCGATGCAGAAACCTCCAGAACGCTCGCTCTGGCCCTGGGGACGCTGCCAGGCCCGCGAAAAGACCGCCGCAGGCCCAGGCTGGGGACCCCGGCCCCGGCCTCTCCGGCCGCCCCGCCCCCCCAAGGCTCACCTGACTGCCGCTCCGGTCCGCAGGAAGCGCTGGATGGCCCTGTCGGCCGCGGTCATCGCCGCCTGGGCTCGGGAGCTCAGCATCGCGGCCGCGCTGGAGACCTGCCGCCGCCCCCGCCGCCCCCGCCGCCCCCGCCGCCCCCGCCGCCACCACCGCGCTGGACCGAGGGCTCCGAAGGCTCCCGAGACGGCGGAACCCGCGGCCACAGTCCCAGCTTCTCTGGGGAAGGGGGGCCGGGGACCCGCTCTCCGGAGAACCGGAAGCAGCCGTCGCCGGAGAACTGGAGCCGACGGACCACATCCTTGTTTTCTCTTTTCCCCCTTAGCAACGCGCGCCGGCGTCGGTTACCAAGGGAGTCCCAGCGGCCCGCTTGGCTTTTCAAGTTTTGCCCTGGCTCCGTTCGTTTTAAATACAGAGGTCTCTCTTCCAGCTCCTGGAGTCATTTTAATTTTTTCGTTATGAAGAGGGCAGCCCAGCCAGAAAGCGGGGATCAGGCCTCGGCCACCATTAGGTATTATTGTCAGAGTGGAAATAGGTGTCAGAGGAAGGGCCTTCGTGAGCCTGTGGCCCGGCTCTGGCGGCATCAGTAGAGAAACCTAGGCCTTTGGTAACAGCCACCAAACATACCGTTTACTTGCGTGCATTGGTGAGTACGTCACATGCATTACTCACTTTCAGCCTTCACGCCAACCGTAACAGGACCCACACGCTAGGTCCCAGGAAACCCACGATGCTTACAGTGGTAGTAAGTAGCTTGTAAATGGTGGAAACGAGATTGGCAGGGAAGTCTGAGTGTCCCCAGAATAGCGCTGTACGGTTGAAATATAACCAAAGCCACATTTTAAATGATCTAACAGTCACATGAAAGTTAAAAAAAAATAATAACTTTTTCTTTTTTCCCCCACCCGCCCCTGAAATTAATTTTAGCAATAGCTTTTACTTGACCCGATATGTCCAAAATATTGTCATTTCTTTGTAAACATTATTAATGGGATCATTTGCATTCTTTTTTTTTGGTACTAAGTACATCTTAATTTGACCCAGACGCTTTGCATGCGCTCCATAGCTGCTCATGGCCAGTGGCTACCAAATTGGATAGCACAGCTTCTCGGCATTAGAACCAGAGAGAATGTTCCCTGCCTTTTAATCACTTTCCCCAACTCCAGAACAAGTGGTCGTGCCTGCTTTGGTACAGAAATCAATGCTTTAGCTCAGTGGTTCTCAAAGTTTTTGATCTTAGGACCCCTTGGTATGCTTAAAATTTAATTGAGCGTGAAAAAAAATTACTGAGCACTTTTGTGTATGTGGGTTCTATCTAACTATGCTTACGCTATTACAAATTAAAGTGGAGAAATATTTGTGAGGTTCCTTTTAATTTGAAGTATAATGTGTACAGTACGATTCAACTATATTTGGTTCTGTGAATTTTGGCAAATGCATAGTTATGTGACCACTACCACACTCAATACCATAGTGTAGAACCTTCACACAACCTCCACCCCACCCCAGAATTACTGCCTGTCCCTTTCTAGTCCAATCTACCACCTACCTCCAGCCCTTGGCAACCATTGACCAAGGGTGAGAAAAGTTTTAAAATCCATGAATACCGGATAATTTTGCCCAACTGGAGGCTAATAGTATTCTGAGTCCATTAAAGGTAGGCTAGCCTAAGTTGTGATGTTTGGTAGGGTTGGTGCATTCAATACATTTTCGACCTATGATGGGTTTATGGGAACATAACCGCATCACACTCTTCTCCTCATTCCATGAAGTTAACAATGCCTGCAGCCTGGCCCCTGCTACTACTTTAACCCGCATGGGTGTGGCTGTCATTGACTAATAGAAGTTCTTGAAAATAAAGGTATATTACTAATTTATGGTGTTAACGCTGCTGCTGAGAACCAGGCAGTGCCTGCTCTAACATCCATCAGGCAGATCAAGGATTTGCAGCATCTGGGAGATCACAAGGTCATCTGTCAGAGCTTTAGGCATCTCTCAGCTGCTGGGATTATTTTGCAGGTAAATGGTTTATTTGCCACCCTAAACTCCATAGGATAAAAGCCCTAAAAGCCTAAATCGGTGTTTTCTAAATGCCCCCACCGAATTGTAGTCAGACCTCCTCCTTTCACTCCAAGAAGTAGGTCCCTAAATAATGCAACTTCCATCTCGTTTCAATATTTAAATCACCGTCCTGTTTATTTTTTAATTTAAAACTCAAACGTGATTCAAAAGTTTTCTCCCAGACTGGAGGAGGGAGTGACCAGGAAAGAGAGGAGGAATCTAGCTCTGATTACCTTCCCCACTTTCTCTCCTGCCTCTCCTGTGTCTTAGCAGCAGACTTCAGAAACTGTAATCACGTTGTCACATGACAAAGAGAAAGGTCTAGAATCCAAATCAGGAGTCTTCTTAATATTTTAAAAAAGTTATCATTGTGCTGTGTTTGCTTACCAGATAGGTAGACTATGAAAGAGCATCAAGGGGTCAAGGGGTGCCTGGGTGGCTCAGTCAGTGGAGCATCTAACTTTTTTTTTTTTTTAATGTTTTATTTCTGAGAGAGAGAGAGAGAGAGAGACAGTGTGAGCAGGGGACGGTCAGAGAGACAGACAGACAGACAGACAGAATGAATCTGAAGCTGGCTCCAGGCTCTGAGCTAGCTGTCATCACAGAGCCCGATGAACCCATGAACCGTGAGATATGACCTGAGCCCAAGTCGGATGCTTAACCGAATGAGCCACCAGGCACCCCTGGAGCATCTAATTCTTAATTTCGGTTCAGGTCGTGAGTTCCAGGTCGTGAGATCAAGCCCTGCCTTGGCACTCTCCCTCTCTCTCTGTCCGTTCCCTGCTCTATAAATTAACTAATTGATTGATTAATTTAATTTTATTTATTTTTTATTTTTTTAATTTTTTTTAATGTTTTATTTATTTCTAGGAGAGAGACAGAGAGAGACAGCATGAGCAGGGGAGGGTCAGAGAGAGAGGGAGTCACAGACTGAAACAGGCTCCAGGCTCTGAGCTGGTAGTCAGCACAGAGCCCAATGCGGGGCCCGAACCCACAAACCGCGAGATCATGACCTAAGCGAAAGTCAGACGCTTAACCGCCTAAGCCACCCAGGCGCCCCTGATTAATTAATTAATTTTAAAAAGGCATTGAATTCCATCCCAGTCTTTAGAACTTGATGCAGGGTTTGAGCATTTTCCTTGGAGCACTCTCCTTAGGAAAGACCTCGGTGCCCCTCTCCTCAAAAGCCACACTGACCCAACACCTCTGAGTAAACCCTGAGGCCAGGACTGGCACGAGTGGCTGGGTTTGGTTGGCAACACTCTCAACGTAGATTGTGCAGCACTTGGTGTCTTTTCTCCTTGGCTTTGGGTCTACGTGCCTGTTCTGGAAAAACAAGAAGATCCTTTCATGTGTGTGAAACACCTGCTTTTATTCTCAGGCAGAGAGGATAAAAACAGAAGGAGGCAAGCTACGGTTGTTTCACAAGACTCCCCCGCCCCCCCGAAAAAAAACCCAAAACAAAAAACCTTACAGTAACAACAAAATGGCTCTAAAATGGGTAATTCTGCCTCAAACGGCACTCCAGCCCTCTCCTGCCTCCTCTGCTTTTGTTGTTCTTTTCCCCAGAAGTCCTTTGACCGGACAGTTGGTCCTCATATCAGCAGCTGGTTCTTGGGCCCGCTTCTCCCTCTTCCCCAAATGAGTTTACAGGTTGACCCCAGGGCCAGAGGGGATGGGGTGAAGTTGATAAGCATCATCTCAGATTTCTAAATGTTTAGTAGAGGTGGAAAGCGTTTCTTTGCTCAAACTGGACCCTTTGGGGAGGCAAAGGTAGTGTTAATAGTATTAAAACTTCAGGTGTGAACTGGGCTTAAAGAGATCCTTTGGTTCTACCTCTAGACCGAAACTTCCATCTGGCTGGCTGTGTGAACTTAGGCAACTCATCTTTTTCCCTGGGCGTGATGATTAATGTTATGTGTCAACTTGGCTGGGTCTTGGGGCCCAGATATTTGGTTATTCTAAATGTTTTTGTGAGAGTCTTTTTGGGTGAGATTTATATTTTAATCTGTAGACTTTGAGTAAAATCAATTAATTGCCCTCCCTAACATAGGTGGGTTGCATCCAATCAGTTGAAGATCTGAATAGAAGAAAGAGACTGAGGGGCGCCTGGGTGGCTTAGTCGGTTAAGCATCCAACTTTCGCTTAGGTCATGATCTCGCGGTTCGTGGGTTCAAGCCCTGCGTCGGGCTCTGTGCTGACTGCCAGCTCAGAGCCTGGAGGCTGTTTCAGAATCTGTGACTCCCTCTGTCTCTGACCCTCCCCTGCTCACGCTGTCTCTCTCTCTCTCTCTCTCTCTCCCCTAGAAATAAATAAAAAACATTAAAAAAAAAGTTTAAAAAAAAAAGAACAAAGAGACTGACCTCCCCCAAGCAGAGGAAATTCTGCCAGCAGATGGCCTTCAAACTTGAACTACAATATTGGCTCTTCTCTGGGTCTCTGCCTTGCTGGCCTATCCTAAATATTTTGGGCTTGCTGATTCCCACAATCATGAGAGCCAATATTTAAAAATGATCTCTCTGTCTCTGTCTCTCTCTTTCTCTGATTGAATGTATATCAGATCAGAAGCATGAAAAATATAATAACACACAGTGATGTCAAGTATATGAGGAAATGGGCACTCTTAAGCATCCCTGCAGGAGAGCCAATGACTACCTTCCCCTTAGACAATTTGAACTACTTAGAAAAATTAAAATTCTGCATATTTTGTCACCTAAGTATACACTGTACACACATAAGAATAAATGTGTTTATTGCAGCCTTGTTGATAATACTCAAAGATTAGAAGCGATCTAAATGCCCGGCAAAATTATGGTAACCCCATGCAGCAGAGCACTGTGTACTATGAAAATAATGAGCCAGCTCTTTGTGGACTGACATAGAAGGTTCTAAGATTCCAAGATGTTGAAAGAGAACAGTGAAGGGCAGGGCAATGAAATGGAGTGCTGTCATTTGCAGGAGAGAATAAATATTAAGTGTTTATAAATATAGGGCTAATAAAGAAGCTGGGAACACTGCTTGCCTCTTGTAAGGAAAGAATGTTACTGAGGACAG